CTTGCTTTCCAGCTTCTGAAACTCAGACAGATTACACTTGGCTCACAGTTTTAGGGGGTTCAGTCCATGGTAGACTGGTTCTAAGACAGAAAGATCATGGAAGAAGGCCATGAAAGAGCAAGTCTTCTCACTTCAACCAGGGAGCAGATCAGGGGAACAGGACCATAGAGGAAAGACTGAGGGATCAAGCACAAACTCAAAGGTCTTGTCTCTATAACCTCCACACTCAACCAGCAGTGTATATTACTAATCACACAGGCACCTCCCAAACCAAGCAAGTGGATAAATAAATTTAACCATCACACATCTGCTACTACTGTTGGAGAAATTTTTAAAAGTAAAATTACCTAAATAATCCTACATTAAAGGCTTGATGCTCAACAAAATCATCAGTTCTTGTAATAACATGAAGGAGCCAAATGCCAGCTCATACTTGATAAAAGAAAAGAAATAAAGAAATTTCAACTCTGTTTGGACCGCTGTCTTAGTAATGCTTGGGTTATGAAATAGCTTAAGTATTGGTAATTGCCTTAATCTAAGTAGACACTGAACAAAAAAAGTTTATTTTTCTTCCTTTACTTTAAAGCTTACTCACTTGAAAGAACCTATAATCCTCTATTCTTTTCCTGGGAAACCAAGGTCAAGGTGAATCATTTATGCAAATGATGCCTAATTTTCAATAAGAAATTAATACATAGCAGGAAGATAGATCTTTCTCAAGTGGAAAGTGGATCAAGAGATGGATTGGGGAAGGAGAGGAGGGAAAGAGGATTGATTAAAGGAATTCAGATTTGTCACGCATGTGTGCTAACACAGGGAATGCAAACATTACATACCTCGAACATGTACGAATGAAAAAAGAAGTTAATTCATATCAAGGAGATGTTTGTTGTAGACCCAAGTTCCCTGTCTCTTAATTCAAAATTAATGTACCAGGGATCAAACTCAGGAGTTCACGTTTGCCAGGCAAGTACTGTGCCACTGAGCTACTATACTTCCCGCCCCTAAAACTTCATTTTTTTTTAGAGATCTGGGTCCCACTATGTTGCCCAGGCTTATCTTCTAGACCAGTGATGGCAACTCTACGACACATGTGTCACAGGGGGCTGTTGTATCATTGACAACTCTAAAAGGTTTGCAATCGAAAAGTCAGCATCTCCCAAGAAGTGGCCATGCTGGAACTGGGGGACCAACCAAGAAATCAATTAATCAGCCTTCCTGGTAAGTTATGCCAATGCACCTTCCAGGGAAAGAAAAGCCAGATAGTGCCTCCTGTGAGCCTACCAGTGTGGGGCTGAGACTCAATCAAGTTCCACCCACCCCATTCTTATTAGCAACTGGATGGTTCTGAGGACAGCCTGAGTGGATAGGAACTAAGGTACATAAACACTAAATTCTTGTATTGCTTCGTTGATTATGCAGGCCTGGGGTCAGCGGTCTGAGCATCTCTTGGGAGGATGACAGTAAGCAATATAGCAAATATGGGATTTCCTTCTATCTTGTCTTTGAAGTCCAGTATTGTTTTCACTGTTTTGCTTTGTTATGATTGTTTTGCTTTATTCTATATTCTGTTTTGATTGGTTTTATAGTGTTTTGGTTTGGGTTTGATTTTGCTGTACCTGATGGAATGGACAACTATTGTGAAGATAACAAGATATGCTGTGATAGCTATTATTGTTTTCCCAGTATCATGCTCTAAAGTTCTGTACCAGTTTTGCTATATTGTCTTCATTGGTTTTGTTGTCTTGTTTTGTGGGATTTTATTATTTTTAAAATTAAAAATAAATAAATAAATAAAAATCACCATCCTAACCTCAGGTGATCTTCCCTGTCAGCCAGGGCCTGGAGCACAGGCCCTCCCAACTCCAAAATTGATCCGTTATTCTAAAGCTCCAGCCTCACTTTTACTCATAAAGGTATATCAATGCAAAATGTAAATGACAAATTAGTATGTTGTAGGGAGGAATTCTTCGCTTTAATCTGTATGAATAATCACAACTTTCCAGCAAAAGAGGAGTCTGTGGAATAGGCTTCCTAGGTTTTTGTTTTGTTTTGTACTGGGAATTGAACTCAGAACCTCGAGCTTGCCGCAGCATTGGCTTATGCTGTTGAGCTACATAGCCAGTCCTAGACTTCATAGTTTATGAAACATAAAGGAACTTATCCTTGCATCAGCCTGATAAACACCTGTATAAATCAAAAACTGAGACCGAAACATTTCGATTAGCTCAATAATTAATCACAAAAATCATAACTGAAAGACTTAAACTCAAATTCAGATTCTTGTACTTTTGTAAAAGTCTAAAATTTGAGGCTTTTAAATGGTCATTCTGATGAAAGAGTTCCATGCCAACAGCCTGAGTCCGTTCCCACCGAGGGAACCCTGGTTGCTCCTTTTAGGTCAGAGAGCGGTGAACTCGCCAGGCTCATGAATTTAGGTTTTGCCTCCAAGTTCAAAGGGCCCAGCGAGACCAAGGATGACGTCACTGGGAGCAAGAGTGGCCAAGAGAGGCCGGGCAGCAGAGGGACTGCAGAGTTCACTGCCCCTCTTAAAATGGATTAACGGCCGCTGTCATGCCTCACAGTCCTGATTTACTTCCTAACATTGCACTCACTAAGAAAAAATGATGGAAGCACTGAATTTGACAACAGAGTTCTATAGCGCCGGAAGCAAGCTTTGGTCATATGCTTGAGAGCTGGAGCCAGGAGAAACTCTTCAAGTTCTGCTCTTCAGTTAGTATAAAAAAGAACAGATAGAAAGCAGCTCGGTGATTCGCACAAGATTATGTCTCTCAATTTTTTTTAAAGGTATGAATTTTTTTCAAAGTTTTAAGAATTTTTACATAGGAAAAGCAAGTAAATGCCCAAACTTTTTAAATATATTAAAAATTTGCCATTTTCTAATTGCCAAACACATTCCAGTAAGTAGGAAGACAAAAGTGAAGAAAAAGGGACTTAGCTGTATTTAAAAGAAAAATACAAAAGAACCTTATTTACCAATACATATAATACCTCATACTGCAGCAGTGCTTATGGTATTGAAAGTTTAAAAAAAAAAAATTAATGGCAAATGACTGCCCAAACTTCATAGAAATCCTTTTATTGTAAAGTTAACTGGAGAAAGTAAATAAAGACTGGACCGCCTATCACTAAGATATTATCAGAAAATTCTGTTTGAAAGTCAGAATGATTGCGCTTGATCAGACATCATGAAGCATGCTGGGAAATCCCATCCTTCTCTGGCCTCAGCTCATCAGTTCAGAGAAACAAAGAAAGCCAAGGTCTCACCCACTGGGATTAAATGAAGTGGATTTACAGCTAAAGTAGCTCATGACTCGTGCTTTTTGTGCCTGTTGTTGTTTGGGAAAGTTTCTTTTAACATCCTTATGCTGTTCTTTGCCTCACCTTTTTTCTACTTTTATAATTTCTAAGGAAAATGTGATGGTGGAGGCCTGTAACCCCAGCACTCCGAGGCTGAAGGATCACAAGTTAAACTCAGCTGGGAGAATTTAGCAACTTTTTGAGACCCTGTAAATAAATAAGTTAGTTAATTAATTAACTAATTAAAATAAAATAAAAGAGGCTGGGGATGTAGCACAGTGCAAAGGCCCTGGATTACCAAGATTGAAAAAAAAAAATGTCCAGTGCCCCACATATTTATTAACAAATTATTAAATATTCAGGGATGAAGATATACCCAAACTGTCATAAACCTGTAGTAGCACAGAAACTGGAGAGAGAAAACGAACTAATAAGATAGATAAATGTAATAACCAATCTTGGAAACCAAGCTCTAATATCAGAGAAGGGAAATCTAATGTTTACTTTGCTTTTTCTATCCCTAAAAAGAATTCCTACTGTAAGCAAGAGTAACAATCATAAGTCTAAAGAAAGACAAGGAATGTTGAATTTTACCTTTTATCTTCATAAAATACAACAAATATTAAACTCAGTATCATACACTATGCAATGAGTACTTTAATTAAAATATCTCAGCAGATAGTTTATGAAGACAGCCTCTCTTAGCTCAGGTAAAATAGAAATATACTGCCTCTTTCAAAAGCCTAGAGTTGACTAAGAGTTTTTTGCCAATATTTTTAAGCTTCTTTGTTACTTCAATATACCTTTTGCTAACACATATTTTGCAATCAATTTTGCAAGAATTTACTATAATAAATGCAAGTTTTGGACCTCTGTTGTTAAAGGGAATACTTCTAAATTTATTTTATATGCTACATAAATTTGTTTTATTGTTTCACTTATAGGCTTGCATTTTTATAGATTTCAGACACTAAGACACAGAGAGAAAAAAAAAGAGAGAGGATTTTGCAATAGAATCTTGCCTGAGCCAATTCTCAGTAGTCTGTTGGCAGAAGGCCTTCGTGTGAACTATTTCCAAGACCTCGGTCTGAAAGGCAGCCAAAATCTCCCCAAAAGAACAGGCCCAAAATGGCTTATTACCTTTCACCTTTGACCCTCAGCCCAGCTGGCCTCATACTCTGCAAACTTGAAATCTTGTGAGAGAATGCTCTGCCATCCCATTTACAAATAGCTCGTTTATTCCACAGGAATAGCTTGGCAAGAAACATCCAGGTCACCTGACCTTGAGTTGTCACAGAAACCAAGAGCCTCAGACACTGCTTTGAGTTAAGCCAAAACCGTAACATTTTGACTCGTTGAAATCAGGGTTGGATTATGTAGCAATCATCAATCATTTAATTCACTTTCATGTTGCGCACTTCACCAAAGTATTAACACAAAAAAATGTGAAAGCAATCACACTTGAACTATGAGTGGTGTAAGCCAAGGCTTGTACTGAAGAGGGAAAAAGCATTAATGTTTAACTTCAACATTAAAAGTTAATCACAACTGCTACAATGCCCCAGATCTTGCAAAGTTTGTCAATATACAACAAAAATCATACCAGCTTTTAGTTATTCACATTTTCAAAATCCTAGTCTTTGTTTTAATCAGAATTTAACTTTACATTAGGAATTTACCTGAAGAAGTACTTTATTAAATCCATTATCTCCAGTATGTTTGAATTAATCCCCAAGGCTGATGCTTTGATCATTTTGGTGATTCCTTTAAAAAAGATTGATTAATTAATTTTCACAAATTATTAATGAGCATACTCATATTTCTTTTTTAAACTGTGAAAACGCATCTTAAAAGTGAGTGAGGGGCTGGGGATTTAGCTCAGCGGCATAAGCACCTGCCTTGCAAGCAGGCAGTCGTGAGTTCGATCCCTAGTACCGATAAAAAGTTTAAAAAAAAAAAAAAAAAAAAAAAAGAGCAAAAAAAAAAAAAGTGAGTGAGAGTGAATGAACACTTCTCAAAGGGTCATTTGTTATTCAAGATTTTTCTGCACTTGCTTTCTGAATTACCTTACTGTACTCAACACATAGTTAAATTTTCCAAAATGCTGTAAGGCACACAACTTATCAAGAATAACTACTTTTTGAAATAAACATAGGGCAGGGGATTTAGCTCAGCGGCATAAGTGCCTGCCTGGAAAGCACAAGATCATGAGTTCTATCCCCAGTACCAAAAATAAGAAAAGAAAAAAAAAGAAATAAATGCAATATAAATGAGTAGCGGTTTTTGCTTTCTGTTTTTTATTTCTGTAGTGCTGAGGACCAACCCAAAACATCACACACACTAGACAAGTTCTCTACCACTGAGCTACATGACAAACCCATGAGTCTTCTTGAGTTTTAAGTATTTATGTATACATTGCATTTATGTATACATTCACCAATAAGGAAGAATTAAATTGCTTTGAAAGCCATTGACAAATATTATATATGAAATTTTTTTGTACCAGGGATCAAACTCATGGCCTCATACTTGCCAGGCAGGCGCTTACATCACTAAGCTAAATCCTTGGCCCCAGAACATGAATTTTTAACATAGATAATGAGTCCTTTTTTAAATCCAAGAACTGTTCAGATGGTGGTGGAGATGATGGGTTACATTTGTTGAATGTACTGACTACTGGAAGTGCCTTACATAGATTCGCTGACTTATTCTTCACAGCCACCCAGTAGATGCACATTATTGTCATTCTCATTTTATGGAAGAAGAAAGTAAAGAGATTAGATCATACTTCTAGTAAAAGTTAAAGGAGGAATTTGACCCGAAGCAATGTGATTTGACTTTACTGCCTTCAAAATACAACCTATAAAAACAACTTACCAACTATACAAATAAAACAACATGAGAGCCCTTAGGATTGTAATATGTATGGTTCACCCTCTATAGTCTGTAAACCATCTGCACAAATACCCTCCCATTCGAGTTTCAGAGTACCTCTGAAGGTGATAGGATCACTTTTGTTTTACAGATGAAAAGGCTAAGATAAAAAAAAGTTTGACTAACTTGTCCAGGATCATTTTGATAGAAAATAACACAGTGAAATAGAAATCTAGGTCTTCAAATGAAATACTTTGTTTTCCTATTGAATCAGTCCTCTTCACACACAGATCTTTAAGATAGAATATTATTCACCCAACAAGTAGAATGAAGAATTTCCAAGATCAATATAAGAAATAACAAAATAAAGCCTTGGGGCTGGGGATTTAGCTCAGCGGCATAAGCGCCTGCCTTGCAAGCAGGCAGTCGTGAGTTCGATCCCTGGTACCGATAAAAAGGAAAAAGACAAAAATAAAAATAAAAATAAATAAAATAAAGCCTTTCTTAATTTAACATTAAATGAAAACAATTTAATAGTGAAATAACGTGGTAAAAATAAATTGGGGATATTACAGGGAAGATTATTCCCAGGTGCGATTCACCTAGCTCATAGGCTTCTATCACTCTATGTACAAAAGCCAAAACTTTTAGACATAAAACACAGATTTTAAAATGGACCTGATAAGTTAGATAGTTTGCAACTCTGAAGCAAAATCTTTTCTAAAAGACCATGTGCAGAACAGAACGTATGTTAAGTAAACTCATATGTTCCTAGAGCAAAAGATTTTAGAAAGACATCCTCTCATTAGAAAGAAATTAAAGGATTTATTTTACACTTTCATTTGTGATATAGAGATTTTTCTCTTTGGGCATATCTTCAGCATACTTACTCTGAAAGAATAAGTAAAGAAAAATTTAGGGGGGCAAAAATAAATAACATGAAAATAGATAAATTAAGGAAAATCTTAACATTTGTTCTTCTAAAAGAATTTAAAAGGCAAAATGGAAGCAGAATTCCTAAGAGAATCTCTCACAATACATTAGATAAAATGTAAATGGTCAGCGTACAACATGACGATGTGAAATATTTTGTTTTGTTTGTTGTTTGTTGATTTCTTTTTATTTTTACTGCTATGCATTAGTCATATTGAGTAGTGGGTTTCCTCTTGGTATATTAGTACATGCATTAACATATCTGGATTGTTTTCCCTATTATCTTCCTTCCCTTTCCTCTTCCTCTGCTACCCCTCTTCTCTACTCTGTCTCCCTTCTCTTTCAAATAATGAGCTTTTAAAATAATGTTAATAGGCAACAGAATAAATCTGTTTTTTAACAAAAGAAATAGAGAGAGAAGAAATAAAGCAACTCACTTACAGGCAGGTCAGCATCACAAGAACTCCAAGGAGACCTTTGTAGATTAGTCAATGACGAGATTCTTCTGGCAAGCCTACCACATGCAATCAAAATTAAAAAAAAAAAAAAAGAGGATCACTTGGCTCATAGAATATGCATCATAACCACAAATGCACTAAGGGATGTCAATTAATTTAATAAATTTCTATGCAATCATTTACTCTACATGTTTTAAAATCATCACTTGGTACCATTCCCAAAATTATATATTACTGTTATCACTGATTTTATAAACAGGCAAAAGGGGTGTTTGAAGACACATGGGAGAATGTACCTTGGAAAAGAAAATGAAGAATCCATTTTGGATACCCCCTTTCGAACAAGGAGAAATGCACCCCATACGTGTGTTACCTGCATTTATACTGTTTAAATTGTCCTCATTTCAACTGACTTTGTGTACTGGCAGTAATGGATAAGTTGAGTTTAATTATTGTTTAAAGTCTCCCTAAAAGCTATGTGTTAACATAGAGAAGTTATTGTGTTCATCCATTTTTTTTATTATAATGGAAAACTACTGACCAGGAAATGTATAACCAAAAGAAATTTGGTTTTTGCAGTTCTGCAGGCTGGGAAGTCCAAGGCCAAGAGCCTTCCATCTGGTAAGGGCCTTCCTGCTGTCACTCTGTGGCAGTAGGTGGAAAGGGAAGACCGTATGACAGAGGGTAAGACGGGCACACTGGCTTTGTAAAAGGCCCAGACTCTCAATATCTACCCCACTTCCAAGGTAAGGACATTAGTCCATTCATGGCAGCAGAACCCTTGGGACTCATCGTGTTTTAAGGGTCCCACCCTCAATACTTGCCTTGGGGATTAAGTTTCCAACACAAGAACTTTAGGAGACACACTCAAACTACAGTAGTTACTGTGGTGTGCACTATAATCCATGAAAGTCAGTTAAAAGTGAATGCAGAGGGACACACAGCCTGGCATTACAGAAGTAATAATAAATAACTAAAATAATAGCTACAACTGAGCGATCTTTAGATTCTCTCAAAGCAAACAAGGACCTCAGAGAAGAAAAATTGTGCTGTTCTTTCTTACAGAGATATATACATGTAAAGCAATGCAACTGAGAAGTTATTTACTAAATTCAGGACAAATTCACATATTAAACAGCACTGTTAGTAGCTTAGGAGTGTATGTAGCTCAGCGGTACAGACCCAGCCACCATACACATATGCACAGAGAGAGGGGGAAAGAGAGAGAGAGAGAGAGAGAGAAAACAATAGTAATATTCATAACAATATTATTAAGATGTATACTATTTCCTTTTAGTGTTATATAAATGGTGCACACAATGCATCTTTACAATTCATAATATTTTACATTCAATGAAAAATAATATTTGTTTTATTAAATGATATTTGAAGAAATGAAATTTCCAGAACTCATGAAAGATTCTCATTCACATATTCAAGAAGTATGAAATTCCCAAGCAGGATAAACAAAAGGAAATCTATAACCAAAGATGTAATCTTAAGCCTGTTTAAAATTGGAAGTGAAAAGAAAATCTTTAAAAGCAACCAACCTAATGACATTACCTTCAAAAGAAAGTCAGACACCAGTTTCACAGAGGAGAAAGTTGACATTATTATGAAGGGTACTTTCCCCTGATTGGTTCATTGATTTTATCAAAACCTCAGTGACTTTTGGCAGAATTTGACCAGATGATACCAAATTTCTATGGAAATACAAAAGACCTAAAATGACAAAACAATTTTGAAAAAAAAACATTAAATTTTCCAACTTAAAACTTGCATTTCCCAATTTCAAAATTTAATATAAAGTTGCAGTAATCATCACAATGAGGTATTGGCAGAAAGACACAGATCACTGCCTTACAATCGAGAGTCCAGAAATAAGCCCTTACGCTGGAGTCAGCTGACTTTCCACAAAGTTACTGAGGAAACTCACCAGCGAAAAGATGGACTTCTAACGAATGCTTCTAAGAAAACTGGATGCCTATAGGCCAGAAGATGAAGCCAGACCTTTATTTCACATCACATACAAAAATGATTACAAAGTAGGTCAAAGATTTAAAACAACAAAAATTTTAAAACAAAACACAGGCAAAACTCTCCTTTAGTACGTCAAAAAAAATTCTTAGCTACAACACACTAAAAAACTGCTTTGGTATTTTTGGGGTTTTGCTATGTTTTGGTTGGTTGGTTTTTGTTTGTCTTGTTTTGTTTTGTTTTTGGTGGTTGTGGTGGTGATGGCACTGCTGGTGGTTATTGAATCCAAGGCTTCACCCACATGTTAGATCAGCACCTTACCACTGAGCTGCCTCCAAAGCCCCAAAATTTGTTGATAAATTACAATCTATAAACCCATTTTGTTCTCAATTGTTTGGGTGGATAGAATTTTTTAATGAAATTGCTTTTAATTTTTTGTCATTCACTACAGAAGCACATTGAGAAATTGTATTCAGCCAAGAGAATAAAGACACATTTGAAAATGGAGTTGGTCCCTGTGATTCAGTTTTACAAATGGAAAAACTCAAGATTCAGGTCACTATGGATTCTCCTCTACCCAAAAAACAGATGCTTCCTCTTAGGAAGCATTAGAATACTCCATATTTTAAAGTTTGCAACATCAGGACTTCATTATAAGACATTTCAGAAATACACTATATTTTCTTTAGAGAAAAACATTCTTAACATACACAAGTTTTTCATCATATATGTCTAAAACTAACAAAAGAAAATATAACTTCTTTTAACCACCTAGCCTCAAGAAATTTCCCAAGCTACCTACAGAACCAGTATCACATGCAAGTTCTATGTCTGTCACAAACTCATTCTAAAGAGTTTTTCACTGTGAAAAATAATATCATCACTGGATTCCACTCTGAAATCCAAAGACAGAAATTACAATGCATTGTAAAAATGTTACCAACTGCATTTCATTTTATGGAAAGGCAATTTGGTTGTCCTGAAAGAAAGGCTTGATTGTTTTTCTTAGTACTGTTCAAGAATCTGATATATCACAAAATGGAAGAGTTACAGCATGCGCCAACTACCAACCAGGAAAAGTGAACCTGATTCATAACTCACTTTAAAAATGTCTAGTTAGTCCATCAAGTGATTTGTAAGCATAAAGGCTGCCAGAAATTGAATGAATAATGCACCACAATAAAATCCTTGGCTTTTTTTTAGCATTCTTATTTCACTATGTGACTTTTATTGCCATTTTTGATCACTGCTTCTCAGCAGCACAAATTAAATCACACATATTTACTTAGAACTTTTTGACTATTAAATAAGCTAAAGAATGTACAAATCAAATGACTAGAGTAGGTAATGTCTTTCAATGAAATGAAGTCTTAATACCTACCGCTTAAACAAGGAAAATTTTATGCCTTTTAATCACAAAAATCTATCTCTATTTTGTGTAAGTTATGTAGTGAAAATTCTGCTTGGCATAATTTATCTTAATTCAGCATATCTTTTTAAGTAATTTCTATATAAAATAAAAGAGTAATTTAACAGAATCTAGTTATATTAGGAAGCATAACCTTCTTTTTAATATCTTCATTGTACAATATTTCCTCAGATGAAAGTACAAAGTAACCTGATGGTAAAGTAACATTTAATCTCTAATTATTATATCATTATTATATAATATAGTATATAATATAGTATTATATGATTAGTATGCACTAAGTATTATGGTATTATATAATAATATTATAAAGTTACAAACAGACAAAATTAAAAAACCAACTAAAAGTTTGGCATATTACTAAAGGAGTAATATGATAAATGAGTATTTTACAAAATGTAAAACAGCTGAACCATATAAAAATGTATCATTCTAGTAGTACTTGCCCTAGTAAGCTTTTAATCAGGATTGCATGGCATGAGAATTAGGTTTAAAATTACTGAAACTTTCAATGTGATAATGAATGGGCTCATCCATTTATTTCCTTTCTATAATTTTTAAGTAGAAGAATCTTTCCCAACATTAAATGGATTGTACAACACCAGAGTACATGTAGCTCTCCCTAAGGAAAATAATAGAGTTAAGATTTATTATATTCATTTCTGAAATCAAGTAAATGTCTGGTTATTGAAGGTAACAGAACTCTAGGCACACAATGCACACTGACTCCCAGAAGCTCGTACAAGAATGGTGAGAGCTTTGTGCACTTAGCACAGAAGTACTCCACCATGGGATTCACTTTACCTCCACTACCACACAATCACCAAAATTCCCTTTGCTTTCCTACAGAGAGTAACTACTCATTCAGAAAGTGTTTCTTAAGCCAAGGATTATGCTTAAAAACTAGGTATACAAAAATGCACTAAACTTGCAGTCTTTGTACTTGCTTTTTGTGGGGAGGGAGTCTGGGAATTGAATCCAGGACCTCTGCACTGAGCTACATTCCGACCTCTTTTTATTTTTTATTTTGAGACAGGGTCTTGCTAAGTGACTAGGTCACCCAAGTTGGGCTAGACTTGCTCTTCTACTCAGCTCCCAGAGTGCTGGCATTCAGGCACATCCCACCGTATTTAGTGGCACTTACCCTTACAGTAGCTGTAAACTAGCAAGAAAGAAGCATGCAAACAAATGAAAGCAATACAATACAGGCTCTAGAGTAGACTCATGTCCTGGAAAGGCTCAGTGATAGAGGTAGTTGCCCAGATAGGGTACATAGAGTTCAGAAAGCTGAATCTCAAATGAAAAGTTGGTGCTTAGCAGAAGAGCAAAGAGTAAAGACTGCAGTGATCAGAAGGAAAATATGAATGAGAATAAAAATGCAAAATGACTCATCATGGTAGCAAGACTACAAGCAGGTAGCTTAAATGGAATTTACCTATAAGGAGGGTCTGTGATGTTGGTTGCCAGAGTAAGTCTGAAGCAGTCTGAATGGCCCAACCATAGAAGACCTAGAGTACAGACTAAGCATAATAATATCCATATTCTATAAACAAGGAAAACCATTAAAGCACTTTGAATTTTAAAAAACACTGAAACATAGGCATCTATAAAGCCCAAATACTTACACATTTGGTTGTCTTCAACAATACTCAAAATAATGTTTCACATTTTGTTAGACAACTAATACCATTTTAGATGATGCATTTAATGTTTATATGCAAATATTTCCCTAGAACCAAGATCTTGGCTGTTAGAAAACAAGAATCAAACAGCAATCCTACTACCTGAGAGTAGCAGAGACATTCAAAATACATCAGCTAAGTCTCCCCAAGAAGCACCACCAAGATTCTACTTAAAGAGCACATACATGTGACATGTACACATTACACACACATAGCCATAACTATGGTACTTAACAAAAGATTGTCAAAAGTTATGTCCACACAATGTTTAAAAAAAAAAAAGCAAATGTTTTGGCTTCGACACATTTTCAGTTTGCCACAATCAAAAGTTTCATAGCACAAACTCATTTTAAACTAGCTAGACGAGGCTTCGAAAGTGAAGCGGCCTATCGGTGGTCACACACAAAAAGCTGCAGGCGGGTGGCCCTGCAGGTCAGTGGTAGAATGCTTTCTTGGGGTGCACAAGGTCCTGAGTTCAGTCTCCAGCACTGAGGGGGAAAAATAAAATTACACAGCTCAACCCAGCACACACAGCAGCAACATGGAGGTGAAGAGTTCAGTTTGAGTTCTAGGCCGGGTACTGACCTGATGTACTTAACTCGTTAAGTCTAGTTTCCTTGTCTATAAACAAGGCAGAATTAGTGCTGTTTTATATGGCAACGTGAAGATGGAATGAGATACAGAAAGTACTTAGAATAAAACTAAGCAAAAGTTACTCAATAATGAAATTTTATTACATACAATAATAAAATTCTGCTAGGTATTGTGAACTCAAAATTATACATTAAATAGTTTCTGACTTGCTTGCATTATAATATTAAAGAAGTATCAAAAGCCTAGTAAAAGTGAGAAGGTTTAGAGTAGAATCATTGGGAAAATGATAATAGTAATGCAGAGTCAAATCATCTAAAAATAATGTTTTTAAGAGCCTATATTTTGAAAAATGTATCAAGTTACACTTAGCAATTACAAACAGGGAAGGAAAGTCCTATTTTACTATAGAAATGCTGACATCCTTTTTAGTTAGTCCATTTTTGCAGTGCACAGTGACTACAGTCTTCGTGCGTTGTGGTACTACACATAATAAATCCTAATTCATTTTTATCCTCTTCCCTTCTCTTCCTTCTCTCCTCCCTCTTTTTCTTGGTCTCCTTCCCTTTTGCACAGGATCTGTCTCACTATTTCCCATTTACTATCTTTTATTTTGCTCTTCATTTATATTTTGAGTTTCTCAAGTCCATTTGTTCAAAGGTTTGGTTCAACTTCTTTCTTATTTATTTGTTGATTTTTTTTGTCTACTTGATTTGTGTGTTTTGGGACAATAGGACATTGAGGACCCCCACTATAATTGTACCAATGTTTATCTGATATTTTATGAACCAGTAATGCTTTGTGAAGTTGGGTGTGCTGGTGTTTAGAGCACTTATGCCTATAATTGTTATAATGAAATCCTTTTGTGAGCAAAACTGTTCAATCACAAACTCTTCTCCAAACAGTATATTTTTTCAAAATCTTTCTCCATACTATTTTTTCACTACATAGTCTCTTCAGAAACATTTAATATAGATGGTTGTGCTGGTTATAATCATGTGATGTCTACATGTACATCTTCATATCTAAAAGTAGGCAGGATTTCAGTGAAAACAGTTCTACCAACTGTTTTTTTTTTGTTTTGTTTTGTTTTGTTTTGTTTTTTGCCTTTTTCCTTTTTATCAGTACCAGGGATCGAACTCACGACTGCCTGCTTGCAAGGCAGGTGCTTATGCCGCTGAGCTAAACTTCAGGATTTATTTATACTGCAGAGAAGAAAAACTTAAAAGACAATAACTATTTTTGAAATGAATATTTTTTATGGGAAACAATGTGAATAATTCTAAAGAAATTCAAAAGAACTGTATCTAATTCAAGAAACCTTCTTCTGAGTACATATCCAAAATCAATCCACCACCTCATAAATACATCTATAATTCTAGGAGCATTATATTATTATTCCCAATAGCCAACATGCGGACACAGAGGAAAAACAGTACATGATTTCACATACATGGGCAATCTTTTTTAAAAATGACTAACACTATGATAATGGGTGTTTGAGAGAGGGAAAGGGAAGGTGTCATAAGATACAGTGTAGCAGATATATAGGATGAACAGATGTAGAGACCTAATATAAAACATGAAGACTGTAAGTAATACATTTGTGTTCAGATTTGTTATATAAGTAAATGTTAACTGTCCTTGTAATGCAAAAGTAATTTTGTTACCACATATTATATATAATTATACTTAACTTCAGTACAGTAACCATTTTACTATCTATATAAATTCCATAATATCATAGTGTAAACCTCAAACATACACAGTAAAGTTATGTTTGGGGAAAAAAGGTACTAGTAAAGCAAGACTTAAAAGAAAATTTACTTTGTAATCTGATGATTATGAGGAGTCAGGTGAAAGCAACTAGAATAAAGAGGCCAAAAGTTACATCGGTACTTGTACCGAGTTACTCAGATATATTCAGATACATATAAATACATATACACACATGCACACGCACAAATACTACTCATACATACACATACTTTATGATTAGGTAAGAAATATTGAGTAAATCACAAATGTATTAATTCAGCAAAATGAAGCTGTGGTTATTAAATATGCATTACATTGTATTCGTCTGGACTACAAATTGCTATGTGAATATACTACTGAACCTTGCAATAGTATTAAACATATGGAGACATCTGCTGTATCTCTGTAACAGCAGCCTGTGACAAGCACTATCAATGGATGCTAGTTGAATGACCAAATAATTTTATTTGAGAATGGGAGACAATCTGTACATGATATTGCACTTATCCTGAAATTCCTGAAATCAATAATATATTTTAAAGTAAGCATATAACATATGTAATCAATTTGTCATTCTTTCCTCATTAATAGTCATTCAAATAAGTGCCACGAATCATCAGTCAGTATGTGTTATATGAAGCCAGTTTTTAGCTTGGTTGGTGACATTCACTTGTATTCCCAGTCCCTCAGGAAGCCAGGGCAGGAGGATTCCCGGAACCAAAGAGTTTGAGACTAATCTGGGCAACACAGTGAGATCTCACCTTAAAAACAAAGCCTGACTTTAAATATATTCAGAAACAACAAATCGTTATTTCCATTCTATTTCGTTGTTAGACTAATTTCTGTGCGATAGCACAGACGCTGGGAGTAAAACATCATAGTTCAACATCCCAATAATCTCTTATAAAACAAAATTTAAACCAAATTGTTGTTTCATAACACTACGAACATAAAATAATACAATCAGTCATCTATGAAGATGACACTGACTTACCATCAATAAAGATGAGCTTCAAATTGTTTTTCTATGGTGAAAATAGACTTGTTGATCCAGCCAATTCTCTTGCCAAAGCTCCCTGCTGAACAATAGCTTACATCTGCAAGATGAGTGTTACCAGTGGTCACAGAAAATAACAAAATAGAATAATCAATACAGAAATAAAACCTGTCTTTTCCCCAAAGTATTGTGTGCTGATTCAATCAAAAATGAAAATTTAAAAAACTCAAAAAACATGCAAATACTGTGTAATACTTATATTAAAAAGTTCTATGTTTCTACTCATATACATTCATTGTGTTCTACATATCACTGATATACAAGTAATCAGAGCCTGACCTCTCCCCCTAACTAAAAATGTTCTCAGCTGTCTTAACAAAAATAAAGATTGTTTCTGACATGTGAAATCAGAAGTGCATAATGATAATGCGCAAAACATGAAAGCGTGCCAAGTTTATATCCCTCATCACCAGTAGCAATAACTGAGGAAATTACAGAATATTTTTGTTAATGTTAGCAATATTCTCAATAGCATTAAATTCAGTATGACTACAGCCAAAATTACTTTGACATTTCCCAGAATTCTGAAAAATACTCCCACTTTATATGAAGAAAAAGTGCTTCAGTTACTAGCTCCAGAATATATTCTTGTTAATACAGAGATTTTGTGATAAGACATTTATTTCTACTGATTTTTGATAATGGAACTTTGTTCATTTCTAGCTTTCATGGGAATTGAAAAAAGCCAATTAAATATTACTGGAATACATTGTTTATGAGTAAAATTAATGTTAGGAGCACTCTATTAGTTAAGAAAATAAGAAACTAGACTTAAACTGTTAAAAACCAGTGAAAGCAGTTAACGACTGGATAAAATTCAAACACAATCACAATACTAAGTGGTTATGATAAGAAAGGATATATTTGAAGGTTCCATAAAGCAGTATAAAAATAACAAGGCATAATACAGAAGCTCAAATAAGTCACACTGTTGATATTACTGAAACATTTTTCCTTCAGTTTTCCAGAGTTATTTATAAAAACAAACAGCTAAATTCTAACACAGCTGCTGTGCTAGAACAGGAAGGATGGGTAGGAAAGCACAGTCTCCTACCAAGGATGACAGGTGCCACCAAGATGAAGCTCGGAGGATCCTCTTGCAAGTAGAGATCAGGAAATCTCAACAGAACTGCTGAGAACCTCTGCTGAATGCCATGATGCACATCTACTGCCCCCTGTAAACAAACACATTTGGTTAATTTTAAAGTACTGTACAAACGCTGCCAGTCACAATTCCACTCTAATGGTCTTTAGGTATTTCCTCTTAACTCCATGTCATTTGAGTCCCTTACCACCATTGCCCACCCACTTATGAAATCTACATAACCTCCTCTAAACTTCAGATTCCTAAAGTTCCTCTTCATTTTGATTCCCCATGTTTAGAGTGCCTTGGAACACACTGAATGGCAGTCTAATAAGAAAGAAAAGGATGGAAATTGGTCACTAGGATACCCTGTGATCATATTTATAACAAGTTTTATAGAAAATGCTATGTATACTAAAAGGAAAGAAAACACAGCTTAAACTAAAGCCTACCAAGAGGAAATGTCATTTTGGATAAGTACTAAAAATTAAAACTAACAATGGCACATGCCTGTAATCCCAGCTCTCTGGAAATCTGAGGTAGGAGGTTGGCAAGTCTGAACCCAGCATGGGCAGTTTAGCAAGACCTTTGTGTCAACATAGAAAGTGAAAGAAGGGTGTAGCTGTGTGTGAGGGCCCGGGTTCAATCCTCAGCACCAGGGTGTGGGGTGGGACGAGCAACTGCCAGACAGAGGGACAAGAAGAGAATGGAAATTCTTAGCAAAAGGAGGACATGAAAAATCATGGAAGTGCAAAAGGGTACACAGAATCCTGAGAACTTTGCGTAGTTCTGAGGAAAATAGAAGAAGAGATGAAAAATGCAAAAGAAAAGCCTGCAGAGACTTTTGATTGGACAAAAGCTGGACTTGTACCCTCACTAAAGGAGTTAAGCCAGAACGACATGGTCTTTAAAAGGATCCTGGCTGTAGCACCAGAGAGGTCGGGGGACAAGAATCAAAGCAAAGGATTTGGTCACAGGAGACAAAGCCAGTCTATTGCTGTACAGAGAAATACAGTGACCCAATTCACTGCCGGTAACCATCAGGTCCGTTATTCAGTGGATATCAAGTTTCAATACACATTCAGAGAATATTAAGGATTTTAATTTATTTTACGAAGCTGTTTATGTGATATAAGCTCAGTGACATAGCAGGAACTTGACAGGCATTATACCAAGATGCCAAAATACTGTGGTAATAACGACTAGCTCTGAGGAGTAAGGCTATGGGCTATGTTTTTCTTTTCATTGTTGATATCTCCCAGATATCTACAGAATAAAATTAAAAATAAATCCTACAGCAATGTCTTGAAGTTTAATAGTTAAATAGTTAAAGGGTCTGAGCCAGGAGTCCTTGACAACATAATTGGCCATAAAGCCTGCTTTCATCACCACAGCCAATATGCACAGCATAATTATTCCTATATCAGGACACAACCATGGCCCATCTTCCTCTGCAATATCTTTTTTTACCCCAAACGCCTATGGAAACCCAAACTTCATCATACCACCAGCTACAATGATCTTACCTAGCCTACATATTTTTATAGTCAATCATATTTACTTTTTAAAAACTACTCTCAAGTTACCCAGTTCACTCATCCCACAATTTTTGTAAGAATAAACAGGAGCAAAATCTGTTCTCTTCTATAACATTTATACATTTATGGACGTTCATATAATTATACCACAGTGTTGCTTCACTTCAAATCTATGTATATAAGCACTGCTAAGGCAATTTCAAATATGCTGTCTCTGAAAAAGGACTTTTGTTATGGATTCTATCCTCCCAAAAATGCTGATGTTCTAGCTCTTAGTTCCATTAGTCCATTCGGGTGGACCCTCATGTAATAAGGCAGGCAAATTGATAAACAGGGAAAGCTGGACACAGAGACAGACAGACATCGACAGAGGACACCATGGAAAAGTAAAAGCAGACATCAGGGTGCATCCAAAAGCCAAGAAACATCCACAGCTGCCAACAAATCTCCAGCAGCGAGGAGCTTCTCCTCCACACTGAGAGGAAGCCAACCCTGCCGACGCTTTGATGCTGGATTCCTAGCTTCCAAAACTGTGATACAATAAACTTCTGTTGTTCAAGCCACCCACTTGGTAGTATTTTTTATCACAGCTCTAGAAAAATAATACACCTGCTGACAGAAGCCATGTTTTTACCCTCCTGAAAAGTCACTAAAAATATTAAAATATCCTAAACTGAGATTAGAAAGCAGAAATTTTTAAATGTCTTGCTGTTCAATCTTCAATATCACCTGTGCTATTTAATAGCTAAGTCAACCAACCTGGGGCCAAAAATCTCGGTGGAATAGGCAGGACTTTTCCTTCATTCTATGCAATAGACATTAACTAATCAAATGTATTGTTCTATAGATACTAGGACATAAAATAATGTGAAGTTACACAAATGTTTCTTTGCTTTATTACAGAGTTGTCTTATGCACTATTTGTAACTGTGAGGACAGGATTTACCCATTTGAAAAAGAAAGTATAATGAGTTACTCACTAAGGAGCAATGACATCACCAGAGCCCAGGAAGGTGCCCAGGACACGTATTTCAGGGGAAAGCCTTGCTCTGCCACTCACTAGCTGTATGACTTGAGCAAATTACTTAACCATGGTTGGGCTTCAAACACTTCATTAGTAAAATGGGAATTTTATCTTTTACAGTAATGAATTAACTAATATATAAAATGTGATTAGCATGTAATGATCATAATAGGGTTTCACTATGTATGTAAAAGAAAAATCCGTAAGTTAAGGACTTATACTTCTCTTGGATAAGAAAATAATTAAACAAGCTTATGTAAGAGCAAAAGTCTTGATTATACATACTGTATATAAAAATCTGGCCTTTGGTTAGTTCCTTATTATAAAATGCAAGACTTTCAGAATTTTTAAAATTGTATGTCAAAACTCAAAATATATTTGAACTTAATCTTAGAACTAAAGTACAAATAGAATCTCAGTGACTTGGGACTTTGTCACAGACAGAGTTAGCATGTGGTTTTCAAAATTCCACAGTATCACTCTTACTCCCTCAGATCACTAAACCTTAGTCATTCCAAAAAACTACCCTTGTACCTTACAGTGGCATCAAGGATAACCCTAGTAGTGTGGTTAAATCCACTGTAACCTGCTACAGGTATTAGTGACATGTTTGCCTCTTTATAAATATGAATCTTATAAAACACTTCTCTCAAAAAAATTAACTAGGGCTGGGAGTTGATCTCAGCAGCAAAGCATTTACTTAGTATACAGGCCCAGGAGTCACTCCCTAGCACAGAGAATAATAATGATAATAATAATAATAATAATGTAAAAGAACTTACTTTGGAAATTAGTTACTTTGAGAAATAGCTAAATAATGTAAAACTAAATAAATCATCAAAATTCAAAATGACCCATCATATCAAAGCAAGCACTTTACACTTTGACTACCAATTGCAATATTTTTAAATGGAAACTTGTCTATATTTACATATTAAAAACAATAAAAATTCATAATCCATTCAAGAAAAACTGCAGTTTTATACAGAAAATGATGGTATTTCTGTCAATATTTTATCAAAAACGGCTATTTTCACTGGTCAAATTTATTGGAAAATATACTAACAACCCACTTCTTGTGAGAAAGTTAAATAATAGTTTTTCTTAGCATCACTTAATAAGCTTTGATGAGTATACAAACATGGTCAAAACTATATTTTCAATATTAATATCAAGACCAAAGCATAATATTTTTAATATCTAGAAAACATATCTTGCCTTTCTAACTTTAACTCACACTTTGTTAGTTGAATTTTACAAATATGAACCTGTGTCTAGCTAAAATAAGTGGCTTCCATAAAGCCTCTTTATAATGCTTTTTTTCAAAGAGTTGCATACTGCTATGCAACTTTTTTTCTTTTCTTGGCTGAACTAGAAATTGAACCCAGGGCCTTGAGTCACACACCCTTCTTGTTTTCTTTTTTTTTTTCTTTTTTTTTTTTTGTTGTTGTTTTTATTTTTTGTTTCTCAGTGGAGACATGCTCTCACTCTGTTGCTAAACCACACAGATTAGGCTCAAATTTATCATTCTCCTACATCACCCTCCCAGAAATCTGGGATTACAAGCGTGCACTACCCTGGCCAGCTAGCAATTTTTTATTTGAAGAAAAATAAATTAACATATGCAATTTAAATAAAATGTTTTAGAGTATGGTAAAAAATTCTAAGATCTTATTTTTAAAGAACTGACTTGAAGCTAGAAAATGCCATACTCATTCAAAATACATATTAAGAATACTATAATTATGGTGGTCCCCATATTACAATTCCAAGAACTTTTTCAAAAAGTAAACAGCAATGGAAAACTATATGTATTCTCCCTTATGGTCTCACTATGGTAATATTGATAAAATCGTAAGGATATATTAAGAAAACATAATATATTAAATTTTGGTAAAGTACCGTGGAAATTATTATCCTTCTAAGTGCAGAATTATATCTTTCTCTATCCATATGCCTTAAACATGACAAAAATTCAATAAATCTATGTTGGTTATATCCTCTAAGATAAAAGAAACATAATTTTTCTAAGAATTCAGTAATGAGGAAAATCCTAAAGAGCTGAGGATTCAAAGCAGGACATGGGGAAATGTTCACAATATGAAAATTTAACATTGGCTAAAGACAATTCTGCCCTTTTAACCCAAAGAAAAACTCTGAATTCATAGCTATAAATTGTGTATTGATTGTCTCCATAGAAAACTTGCAACCACTGATAGTTTTGAAAACTTTTCAAATTGGATTAAAATTAAGTTACTAAGAAGTAAATAGAAACAGAACCTATATTTTAGACACCATAATCTTAGAGATACTTTTTTTTTAGTTTCATCTTCCTGCTGGAGCAACATGGGAAATTTTAATCAGTGTAGAAGGTTCCATATACAGCGGATGTTCATCAGAAATTACATTAAACACACAATTGCCTTTTAAAACATTCACACCTACACAATCCCATACAAAAAGCCTTCCCAGATAGAAATGAAAAAAATCGAGTTTAATATGTGTGATCAGAGTAGCTAAGGCCTTAATAAAATGGATACTAAATTCTGATACTGGATTACACTAGATCCTGCATTTCCAATCTGATATGCTGAGATTTCCTACTAGGAACTGCAGACCCATGAAACAATTTAGCCCACCATCTTTGAAGAAAATATGCTATCTGGTTTACTGATTAAGATACAAGTATCTTGACAATATTTCTAGAATTTAAAAAGTTAGTATTAGTAGTTTCATCCACCTTAAACTATATGATTACTATTATTATAAATCCCCAAGTGTATGTTTTCATAGAAGGAAGCAAACAATTTATTAAACCGGTAAAAGATTTGGGAAAAGATGGCTTTACAATAATATCTATAACTCCAATCCTCGGTTTTGCTGCTATTTTTTCTTAAGAGATCATGTCATCGTGTGAATAATATGACTCAAGCTTAGTCATCTAGACTAAGAATGAATTAAATTTGCTAGAGTAAAAACTTGAAAGAAAAAGTACATGCATGTAATTCTAAATTGCTATTTTTAGAATGAGGTTTTTCTCCATAGAGCTTTTTAACACTTGTTTCCACATTATTCTATTTGTGCTATTTTCCCTTTAGTATTCGGGTAAACTGACTGCTTACAGAAAAAAAAAGACACTAATTTTCAAATAAAAAGTCATCTGTGATGTGAACATTGCATAGACTACATAAAAAAGGAAAAGGTAACTCTGGATTTCAACTGCCAAAATATCAAAACTTAATACATATACATGGAAAAGAGACAGCTAGCTATGTTTGTCCCCAACCCTACTTTCTTAGTCTGGTTACCTTAAGGAGGTGAAGACCTTATTGAAAGCCATATTATATCCAACCACCATTCTTTCCAGAAAAGTCCAAAAACAGCAGAATGGTCACAGACTCCTGGGAACATGTTGTCTTCTCATCCTATAAGAAGCTTCCAGGATGACATAGATTCATTGTTTTCCCCCTCAAAAAACATGCTCTGATAGCCAGGCATGGTGGCTCATGCCTGTAATCCCAGCACTTGGGAGGCTGAGGCAGGAGGATTGCTGTGAGTTCAAGACCAGCCTGGGCTATGAAGTGAGCTCAAGGCAGTCTGAACTGCACAGTGAGACCCTGTCAGGAAAAAACAAAAAAAAAAGTGTTCTGAGAGGGAAAAAAAATCGCTTTTTTTCTTCTTCTCCTTCTTTCACCTTCTTCCTCCCCTCCCTTTCTCTGGTTCTGTTTATCCTTAAGAACAATCTCCAGAGTGGGGATGTAGCTCAACCACAGGTAGAGCACTTGCCTAGGCTGTAGGCCCTGGGTATCACCTTACACACACACACACACACACACACACACACACACACATACACACACAAACACACACACACACACACATTGAATCATCAGGGATGATAGGCACCGTGGAGTGAAGCAAAGAGTGCCTGCACCAATGTCTACGGAACTGGCTTTTATTCGCAACTCTGTGACTTATTATTTGGTCTCGCTAAGTTACCTCACCTCTGTGGGTCTTTGCCTTTAATTTGTTTTCATTGTGTTTCATGTAGAAAACCAAGAAGTAGTAAAAATTTTAATTATGGCTAGAAAGAAATCAAAAATTATCTTCACGTAAAACAGAGAATCATGCCCAGGTATAGGTGATTAGAATAAAAGAATTCAAACAGCATTCATAATTTTGACATTTAAAAATCCACTTATTTTAAAAAGTCATGTAGGTCAAATTTTAGGCTATGTTTTTAAAAAGTACCTAAAAGATAAAAGGTATGATAAATATAAAATTTAAGATGATGGTTATCTCTTCAAGAAGCCATCAGGATTCAGTTTTAGTGGTTACACTTTATTTCTCAAACTGGGTTTGTGATACATGGATATTTTTGTAATATATATATAATCATCTTATAATATATGCAATCATTTTATAATATATATAAAACTGTCTGATAATATATAAAACTCTAATCAGCTTTCTAATAAAACACCAAAACATCTTTAACCAAAAGCTAAAATAAATGGAACTATTTCCCCAGAATTGTAAACATCAATGAAAAAAGTTGTGTGTGGTTACAAACATTCTCCCGCTAAGTTTAAAAGGTAAATATTGAGGCTGGGGAAGCAGTTCAGTAGGAAAATGTGTACTCAGTATGTGAAGACCATGGCTTCAATCTTCGCACCACATTAAAAAAAATAAATACCACTGTTCCTCTAATCTAGGGGAAAAAATAAAATATACTCTGTTTCCCATCTCCCAATTCAGCAAAACACAAAAACTACACAAATGGCATGAAACACAAAATAAACAGTGTGCTTAATAGCATGATAAACCCACTTAACACTACTGAGAGAGGTGTCGAATAATTCGTACTCTAGACATACGCCTGAGAGAAACATATTCAAGAGTCAGATCTGAGAGCCTAGTGTTTAATCATGTTGTTTGTTTTTCCTGAGATAAATAAGAACTGCAGTAATTTACTCAAGAAAGCAAAGGACTTTCTAAACCTCTACAGAGTATCTACCTGCAAAATCTAAATGCTTCCGATATCTCTATAGGTCATTCAGCAAAATATATTTACTATATACTACCATAATAGCTATTTAATTGTTATCATTATGATACAGATATATAATGGAAACAGATGTTCCTTTTTCCTTTCAGCAAAGCACAAGAAAAGCACAAACTTGCTGATATTGCATGGACAACTACCGTAGCACAATAGAGAGGAAAAAAAGACATTAGCACATGACAATATTAGTTTTTACTACACAACTAATTGCATAAAAAGTATAACTTGAGATCATTAAATCAATATAATTTTCAGCACTACAGAAGGGAAACAAATAGACTTGTATAACCAGCCTATTTCACATCTGCAGTTTGGGGAAATACTTCTGAGACACTAAGTATATGCAAAACGCTACTGCCGCTTACAGAATACAAGGAAAAGAGTGTTGCTCAGTTCTCTTTGCTTCAGTCACATAAATCAGAATGCTGCCTCTACCGAGGAAAATTTTTTATTTACCAGTATGTATTTATACAACCTTTCTGGAAAAAAATTAGGCAAGCAATATAAAGAATCTTCAAAAATAATCTTTACTTTCTGCCCACATAATTTCTAATAATATATTAAAGATAATAAGCATAGAAACAATAAAAGATTTAAAGCATTATTCATCACAACTGTATATTAATAAAAATTACAAATGTATTTTAATGTAGAAAGTGATTAAATATATACACTGAAACAACATACAGTTGGGGCATGGGTTACAGCTGTATGTTGAGGAATGGCCCCCACATGCACAAGACATTGGGTTCAATACCTAGCACCGGAAAAAAATGTATATATTTAATGATAGCTTTTATATTACGTTGAATTCTTAGAAAAAAAGTTTAGAAAAATAGACAAAAAATCATTTCTAATTTTTAAAAATTCTCTTGTGAGGAGATGCCATTTTTTTAATCAGAAAGCTATTTGCTTTTAAATAGTTAAATTTCTATGTTTAGATACTCCTGATCACTGTCCAAAGTTTCTTAAAATTCTCTGGTTCAAGTACTCCTATAGATACAGGTAAACTGACTCAAAGCTCTGTGGAAATATTATTTGACCCCAAAATTTAGAACAAAATAGAAAAGATTTGTCAATCACATGGATTATACATTCTTCTCCTTGTTAAATAAGATCCTTGCAAATTAGGAAATGTTTTTATGAGATGAGCATAATAAATGCTTACTTACAACCTACTAGTATGTGGTTTTATGTACCATCGATTTCAGAAATATTTCAATTAAAAATATTTCTAAAGCAGAGAAGTAGTTTATTAATTGCTCTCTCCCTGGTGTGCAAACAAAAAGTTTTCCATGGCTTTCCTAGGACTCTTAGCTTCCTGATTCTGTTTTTACAAGAAGGAGCTGATTTGTCTTAGGCCATTACTGTCTATTACTTCTAGAAGTCTTGAAGAAAGGTGGGAAGCAGCAAATTCTGGCAATCTGCCTAAAGAGAAATCAATGAAACAAATTAATCCTTCCCTGGCTGCAATGACACAGTAATCCATCATTCAGAGCTGCTTTTATATACCAAATCAGGGAGCAGAGGGAAGAGCCCTGGGGGACATCACAGACAACAACTTACACCAACACTGGGAAAATACTGAAGAATCAGTTTATTTAAAGCGGATAGATTTCAGTTGATTGCCTATTTTGTCAAATAAAGATTTTTCTTCTACAGTGTGGTGAACCCAAGGGCCAATGACTATATCTAGAGAATTCAGTACAATATTTGCTGGCTGACATCAATAAGGAATGAATTTTTTAAATAAATTAACATCATTAATTCATCAAATAAATGGATAGAGCAATATTATTTTTTGTGTCAAACTTTCAGGAATTATACATTTCCCTTTTTTCAGTGGCAACTAATGATAATTTCACCTACTAATATACAATTTAAATAACTCCTGGAAAACTGCATTTGAGGTATCTATTCACACACACACACACACACACACACACAATGTAACATTTGAGATATACATATGTCCTAGATATTATGTAGTTTAAATACTTGAATTTTTAAATTTCATTTCTTGTGCTATAAATCTCAACTAGAAGACCAGTTTATAAATAGCTAGTTTGCAAGTGATAAGTAATTATTTGGTTTATGACATAATTGAGAGTGCTAAAAGATAAATTAAATGTGATTTTTAAGTAAACTGATAACCAATGTAAAACAACATACAATACTCACATTAAGTGTATATATTTGTTTATACTTGTACAAAGCATTACATGTGAACTTATTTATACTATGTGGAAATGTTTGCACCTATGTCTTACTAGAAGAAGACATTTTAAGCAGAAGAATAGTCCCTAGATGAAAATTAATAACAAGAACTATAAAGTCAAGGTGCATTACTTTTGTTCAATGCATGCCTCACTTCTAGAGTTAAAAGTGAAGAATTAGTTTTTAGAAAACTATCACAATAGTCCCTAAAATGTGAAAATCCCAGAATATCTAAATAGACCTGAAATAGAAGAAGAGATTAAAATAAATGCTAACCATTTCTGAGTGGCACCTTGGATTCCAAAGTCTGCAGCCATGCGATTGCAATTCCTGGCCATGCTGGTGCATTTTTAATTCAATGCATGAATCTAGTATTTATTGATTTAATAAGGTTAGGGGAATTACATTGTTGCTGCTACTGATGAACTGTCAGCCATTTAATTTAGTGAAATCTTACAGAGAAATATATATACATTAGGGGACAGAGAGGGACATAGCCATGTAAATTTCACTATCCAAGACAGTGGCCAAAGCAAAACCTCTTTCCCAGACTGCTTTGGGATCCAGACTTGCTGAGGTTTTGGTGGTGGTGGCGGCTTTTGCTGTTGTTTTCTTGCTTGTTTGTTTGGGTTTTGAACAGGTTCTTGCTGTTCATAAGTTGCATACCCAAGCTGGACTTGAACTTGGGCTTTTCTTCTCTTATCAGCCATTCTCCTTTACTAAAGATATCCGTCACTGGCTGATAGAGCTTACAGTGAAGTACTGGAGCATAAATCTGTAGGTGCACCTTCAAAATTGAGAAAAATGACATATTTCCCTATACACCTCTGGTTTCTTCTCACAGGTGTTGAGGTACCCATAGGTGGGCAGGCTTGACCCTTTACCCGGTCACCCAACAGGGTTTCTGAGAGCTCACCAGTGACTTCTCTCTGAACTGTAACACTTTCTATAGGATCACTATAGGACACAGGTCAGAAGCAAAGTGAGAAAAGTTATTTCCTTAAAAGAAATTCCGCCAAAATACAACCAAAGGAGTTTACATGTGTGCCTTGTATGGTGATCCTATAGGGATCAGAAGGGTGCAAAAATACCCTCCGACGTGCTAGAAACCTTTGTACTGTGCGCTGTTTATTCCCCCAGCCTGGCCGCCTGGGAAGCACGTTGCGCAGGTCTCTCCCTGACTTTGAAGAATGGATAATGTAAAGATCCGAGCTGCTGCTGGGGTCAGTAAAACTATGCTAATTGGTGAACCTAATTGCTTCAAGCAGTCCTGCCTCTGAAAAGGGACAGCCCCGTTGATGGAGTCAGTCTGTTCCTAATAAAATGAAGAAGCCCTGAATTAAATTCCCAAGGAAGGCCCTATAAAAGTTTCCACGGTGTAACCAAATGACTTCACCTATGCTATTACCTCTGAGATGACATCTTTGAGAGAAAGCAGACCCGGTCGGGCTCCATATTCATAAATTGGCCGAGCTTAGGCCAGTGAATCTGGATTGATTTAAAAAGCCTTCTTCATCCCTTCAATCAAATGAAGTCATTGTTAATTAGATGCTTTCTGTTAACGATGTCACTCTTCACTTTACCTGCTCACACTGGAGGCGTCTCCAGCGCAACATCTGGAGCACCGGTTCCTGGCAATCAGTGCTGAGAGGTGATGGTATTTCCGCCCCTCCAGCCCCGTCTGCAGGGAGATACTGTGCAGTGTAGGTGGTGCTGTACATACCAACTCTTCTAACTTGAGAGATTGTAAATAAGTCTCTGGGAAAATTCTTGAGATACGGTAGATCTTCCAAGATTTTTTTTAAATTTTAGTGGACAACACAACAGCTTTCCTGTGCTTGTAGATGATTTTTTTTTTTTAATTAAGCCTCAAAGTCCCCAAAGTGAATTCTCATTGGCTTTTCCGGCTTCTTAAAACAGTAAAAGCAAAAAACTCAGGTTGAAGATCCTCCAGCCCAGTGCCAGGCCTTACTTCCTACCCCTTCCAACCCAGTGCCTGAAAAAGACTGGCTGCCCAAGACCTAGCAAACCGTCCCATCGCCCCCACCGCCAGAGGTGAGAGGCCCCGGGGCGCAGCGGGGAGGACGCGCGAAAGCGGCTTCGTTGAACTGTGGGTCCCAGATCCCTACAGAGCTGGGCGGAGGGGTAGGGGGTTCACACCCCGCCGGGCCCTTTTCCGACAGCTTTGCGGTGCTGATCCCGGGGCATGCACAGTGCCAGCGCCGACCCGGGGCCCTGGCCTGGGGTTCGGGAAGCGTGCGCCACCCCACGGCCGGGCCTGGTTTCCTTCTTGAGTCTCCTGCGCAGGCTCCGCTTTGTCACCACCGCGCGCCCGCTGAGTGCTGCCCTTCAGAGCTGGCAAATGCGCGGCCTCCTGCTGTCTGATAATGTCCCCCGCCGCCGGGGTCCCTCTGCAGCCCCGGGCGTTGCACCTGGGTCGAGCACCGGGCCATCACCCCGCGCGCCAGGCTGTGCGCCTGGACCTGGGCCTCGCCAACAGAGGCTGCTCGAGCCGTGCGATGCTCGGGTCGCAGTTCATGCGCTCCTGGGGAGAGAGCGGAAGGGTCCCGCCAGAGATCCTTATTCTGAGTTGAAGAATTCCTTGGCAAGGAAGCACCTCTGTGAAGTGAGGGATGCAAAGTGTAGTGTATCCCCCTATCTAGTAGCGGGATAGGCCTGGAATTAGGGCCAACGCTGCCCCGGGAGCCCACAGCGCCAGAGCCGTGCGCATGGAGGTCGCAGGTGGACTCCTGGGGACCTCGGTGACCCTAGGCGTTCTGCCTTTCAGGGAAACCTCTGCCTACGTTACCAGGGGAACCTGCCCGCAGGTCCCTGGCTCCACTCTAGTAAATCAGAGAACAAATTCGGATTTGGGGCCTTGTCCCTGCCTCTGAGGGGCACGAGGACCATGCAACACCCCTGAACCTTGATGGCCTGGGACCGCAAAGGAGTCAGGAGCTCAATCGCTAAGCAACAGTAGGTTTGATTTCCTAGAAACCCACCCAGGGCAGAAGCACACGGAGTTAGCAGAATGAGGGAAGTAACCACACCGAGGTAAGCCCACTCTTGGCCTTGAGACTCTTAACTGCATGTCTTCAATCCCTCGGTCTCGAAGCTCTCCCACCTGGCAAAGACGTCTGCTCCTCTGCAAGAGGGTTTGGGGCGATTAAGTTTCCTAGGACGCTTTCATCCCTGTGATGTAGGCTGCAGGAGAAAGGTAGACAATAGCTGCAGCCCTAAAACCTGCGATCTCTCAATGCAGTGAAATATGGGCGGGAACTGGGGCCATTTTTCCTTCCACTTCCGGAGGGAGCCAAAACCTGAAGCACTAAGATAACCCTTCTCCAAAGCATAAAATAACTTCAGGGTCTCCACTGCCTGTATGCTGCAGGGTTGCCCTCACCCACCAGACAGGCGATCAGTTTTTCTTTGCTTTTCTGTGCTTGTTTTAAATACTGTGCCTAAGCCCAATAAAACATTCCTTTGACCCTCTGGAGACTCAATTAGAACTGAGCAAAGGGAAACCAGGCCAGAGACAGGAAAGGTGCAAAGGGGAGAACCAGGAGGACTCTATGAAGGGGTGGTGCAGACCCCTGCGCCAGCGCAGGTAAATCCCAGTTTGATGGGCCCCAGGGTTCCCGGCAGACCCTGCCCAAAGTCGGCCACGTGCTCAAGGCTGCTGTGGTCCAGCTGCGCTTCTGGGGACGGTTTTCGCGAGCACACATAGTGCACTCTCAAAGACATACGTGCTGCCATTCCTGGCGCTTGGACCCCACTGCGGAGCGCGGCCACTTGGCCCTTTCGCTCCGGATAGGCAACGAGAGGAGCTCTGGTCCGGGAGGCGGGCCTTGTGGACCGGCGCAGGAGAGGCCGGATAAAATGGTAGAGCATCTTCCTTAGCTCAGGGCACCTTCTGGTCAGTCGGCCAGGTCATTTGCCAGTCCTAGCTCAGCCGGTTCCAGGTCCCTCCCTGCATATACCGAAAAATCCCTGGTCAGCCCGCCCTGCGTGCTCTGGTGGCTCCCAATTGCCCAGGCCCTGAGAGCTGGGCTCACCTCGCTCTGACCCCTGCAGCGATCAACAGCACGAGTGCTGTTTGCCCAAGTGTCAGATCCCTGCCTTTCCCTTACCTACACCTCCCACCGAGGAAGGATTCGCGGTGTTTGAGGTGACTGTTGTTCTTTTAAAAGTATATTAGGGGATCATTGGCATCTCCCCGTCAAGTCATTACGCCTTTATCCCCATCAATTAACCACACCTCAGAGGACTGCTATTAAGAGCTAAATTGAGCTGCAAAAGTAGGTGTCCCATTTCAGGCAGATGTTGCTATCTCCCGCTGAGAAGCCAGGCCAACAGGGCCCGACCCTGGCTTCCAGAGACAGCTGGAACCGCGTGGCACCAGGCTGCCGGCGCGGGGAGCGGGACTGGGAGAGAGGCCGCTGCCTGACGCTGGGCTGGTGCTCGAGGCATCAGGAGGATTGACAGGGCCCTGTCCCAGCCTCAGCCTAAGCTCTCTGCACTCCAGTGGGAAGTGTCCCTCCAGTTATGCTAGAGAGGACGCCAAAAGAAGGCTGTGCGTTTTTTGCGCACAAACTTGGAATGTCCTTGAGGCCTCGCTCCTGCTGGGAGACCAGAGGGAGAAGGCACGGGGAGAAAAGGGCGAACTGTGGAGTCTGGCCGACAATCCTCCTCTTCCTAACCCCTCAGCAGCAGAGTCTCGGAACCCAGAACTACTGGGGGCTAAAGGTGGGGTCGTGTGGAGATGCTGGGTGTGGAGCTAGAGAGCTGGGGGTGAAGCCTAGGACAAAGGAGGTGCACTCAGGCCCTCTGGGGCCATTAGCCAGACGTGGCTTTCCACCTCTCCTACCACAGCCACTCTGGAGGACTTGAAGTTGGGAGATTCTGGAGCCTGAAGGAAGGAAGGAAAAAGGGGGCCAGGGCCCTCACTGCCATTACAGGGCTCTACTGCTGACATTGGCCACAATAAATTTAGCCAAGGCGAAAGGAGATTAATTTCCCAGCATAATCCAATTAAAAGATTTCTAAAGTAGTCTTTTTCGAAGATGAGGGAAAAAAAAAAAACAAGTGCGCAGTTAAAGATAGGACTGCTTGCGATGACAGTGATTTATCCCCTCAGGGAAGCTCGCAGGGCGTCAGCTCTCAGCACCCGACTGGACCGGAACCTCCCCAGGGTGCCTTCCCCGCCCAACCTTCGCTTTCCTGAAAGACAACCATCTATCACACCGACCTGGCTGGGAGATACTGGGCAAGGCACTGGCGTTGCTTACAAGCACCATAGAGTTTTTTAAGTGCTATTAGATTTATGGTCTCTTTTTCGACGCCCATCCAGAGTAATTAGCACATATGTTCTAAATAGATGATAGTTTTGTGAGCAATAAAGCAATTACCCATCGTTGGAGCTGACAGTTCCTCCAACTAAACTCCAACCAGCAGCTAATTGGAAAAGTCATTTCAGCTACATCGTCTGCAATTAGTCCTGCTAAACTACTACACCCCAACTAGCTGGTTTGAGGTTAATTTATTCAGTCTTCTATTTGCTTGGACAAGCCTTCACCACGAAGGGACTTGCCTTTTGCCTCTCCAGAGTGTGCCCAGGGACTAGGGGAGCAGGTGGGAGTAGATAGCTGAGATTTGGGGGCCAGGATGTCTCCAGGGGAGGAGGGACCATATCATACCTCCGCTTCAAGGTCAGTGTCCAGCGCACTGACCACCAACAGCGGAGGGAGACTTTGTTTTTCTTGCTAGGCAAAAAGCAGAAGAAATTGCTCAGTTTATGCTGCCAGAACCTTTATTTAAAAGAAACCACCACAAAGAAAGCACTTGGGTTCTGAAAGCTCCTCTAGCCTTGTACCCACTCATAACCTGGGGCCACCCTACTGTTCCTAAGGGACAGACACAAACGACACCCTGGCAGCTCTGAACCCTGGCTGGAAGAGCGAGCCTCCAATTCTCAGGGCAGTGGTTTGGGGGGGGGCGCAAAATAGGTCAGGAAGCCCTGCTCCTGCCTTCTGTTGCTCCGAGCAGAATGCCACATTTCCCCAGATCTCTCTCTCTCTCTCTCTCTCTCTCTCTCTCTCTCTCTCTCTGTCTCTCTCTCTCTCTGTCTCTCTATCTCCTTTCTTTCTTCCTTCTTTCCTTCCTTCCTTTCTTCCTGAGTTAATCCCAACAGGTCCAGAATTTGTGCACAGTGAGTGGAAAAAATGTGCTAAACGTCGGTTTGACGCCCCACCGGAGCTTCCAAATATCCAGTGGCTGGGATTCTTCTACTTAATTTAATCTTTATTGGACAGGGCGGCTCCTATGTGCCTATTCATTAGGAAATATATCAGTTGGGGTTCAGAATTGAGGGCGGGAAGGAGAGGAGTTAAAGAGGGATTAATCCTCCCCCACCCATCCTCTAACTGGAACTGAGATTTTCCCGCATGCTGGGGTAGGGTGGGGGGGCTCAAGGTCCCAGCCTTAGCCAAGAGATCTGGAATCTGGGGGCAGAGGGGCTGACAGGCTGAGATGAGAACGTGTAACCCTGGTAACCAAGTATTTCCTTAAAGGAATTTATAGCAAAGTGTCCCAGGCTCTGGGAGCAATGTGAATTTTACTCAGAAGAACGTGGCAGGGTAGGAGGTAAAGCTCAGCACAGTTCTAGTCCTAGAAATCAAATATCGTTTTCCTGGGTACCCATTCATATTTAATACCCACATTTCTTTTTTAAAATAAATGCAGCAATGCTCAGCAAGACAACTTGAATGATGTGTAGTCAGCACAAGACTTAGTAAAATAATCTATTTTCAAACCAAATTATAATTAATTGCTCAGCTTCAAGGGTTTAGAGATAAGATCTAGAGCAAAAAATAAAACCTTTTAAATCGCTCCATGTTAGGCCCTCATTTTCTGCTTACTTTTTGTGTTTTAACTAATTTAATTCAAAAGGGGGGGATCTTAGAGGGAAATAGAAGATAAAGGTCTCATCTTACCCTGTTACCTCCCAACCGCCTCATCATCTTTACTCTCTGAAGAGAAACCCTCACGTGTGACTTCCAGTTGAAAACAGAAAGGAAATAATATGACTTCTCCAAAAGGCTATGCATTTCGTCTTCACTTATTTGCTTTTTTGTTGTTGCTGTTCCCTAGCACTTAAACATGGCCAGAAAGTGAGAGGACAAGAACAGGTGAAGAAAACATCAGCCAGATACCACCTGGACTTGGTAGAGAATATGAATGTAGCTATGTAAACACACTCATGCATAAAGTGCAAAATCACCCACCCATCCCATCGAGAAATCCTGAGAAATATTTATATATGTACAGTCACTCGTGCTGAAAAATCCCCAGGCACGGTGCTATGCAGGCTCCCTAGCTGTCCGCACACATGTGCCTGCTTCTAGAGTAAAGGCATTTTTGTTGCTCCCATAGTTTCTTTCCATTAAGAGCGATTAGATGATGTCTATTCAAAGTTGCTGATCCAGAGAGAAAATAAGAGTAGAGAAAAGGAGATTTCAAGTGACCTCCTCATCCCTTTCACACCAACCTGAGCCCTAGAATAGCCAAGGGTCAACTGACACAAAAGCCTTTCCTTTCGATTTTCAGCTTCAGAAGATTTCATGCAAGGGGTTAACAATAAAACATAGAACTATCCCTGAGTTTTGTTAAATCATGCATCTGGAATACTTTATTAACTCCTCCCATAGATGAGGTACATTCATTTTCCACCTCTGAAATGGGTAAATAAAATGTCCACAGCATAGCAAAGGGCGTAATTATTTACTGTTCCTGTGTAGTTTGTATCAGTGGTGTACTATGCTCATTCCTTTTCATTTAAGCTTTGCCCAAAGCTCTCTCTTCAGTGATGGAGGACACTGTAATAAACATATCTTTCCACTGACAGTTCAGAAGAAAATGTTAGGTGTGCTATTTAGATCAACACACTAATAGGTAAATATAATCACAGTATAACTGTAGCTATCAGCAGATCTGCAGGCTCTTCCAGCCAAAAATTTCCAGCCAGTTTATGTCATAAGCAGTGAGGGACGGGACATTAAAGACTTAAAACACTTCTAGCAGTCTTTAGTCCGTGAAACGCCCAACTCAGGTCTACTTCTGATGGACTAATCCTGTAGTAAAAGAAGTAAGTGCTCTGACAGGTAACTATTAAGGGAAATGATTGTATAGTGCAGTTGATTTTATTGTCAGGGTACTCAAACAACCTTCAAACTCACTTCAAAACTTCAATTTTTCATCCAAACCCAACCCATTTTCCTTAGGAAGAATAGCTATGCCATTATTCTTCACTCATATTGGACATTTAAGCTAAAGAAATATATTTTGTAACATAAAGGTCTCCAGTTTTCTTTACTTTTGCATAAGTGCATTTAGAAAGCCAAGACTTGGTTTCATATATATATATATATATATATATATATATATATATACACACACACACACACACATATATTTGACTCTAGCTTTCCTAATATCCTATGAATGATTGTCACTTTTGCTTCTCTAAAAAGGCTTGATTTGCACCCAAAGGTCAGTGCTTGCTGTCCTGCCTTCTCAGGTGGCTGTTCCTCCTGAGTCTTCTCACTGGAAACCCAAGGATATGAGGAAAGTTCTCCCTTATCGCTCTTTTCCAAAACATGTGTTTTAAATGGCCAGTTTGAGGAAGGAGGAAAAGAAAAAGCAATAACTAACCCACTTATTTAGTAAAGCACTTATCTCTGAGCTTTTCAAACCAAAAGTGACAAAGAAGAAATGCTTGGGCTGCAGAACGGCAGTGAGCAGTAGGGTCCAGGGGTCACTCAACTACATGGGGAGGCTGAGAGCACACAGTCACACAGAAGCCCAGCTCCCAGCCTCTCCAAGCTGGCTTTCATTCTGACAAAGGCAAAACTTTCCATAGCTGCCCTGAGTCCCAGTGCAGACTGACAGGAGCACAAGAAATGCAGGGAGGTTTTGCAAGCTGTACTGTAACCTTATCTGTGTTTTGGTTTGGGTTTTAGCATCACAAAATTCTAAGTGAACATTCTCTTGCCTTTCTTAATCTTTCCTCTAAAAGATCTATGCAAGACCATTTTTAAAAGTACCTTCAACTATATGACTCCTCACCTTAATCTCATGCTAAGGGAGGCTAATTGATTCAATATCTATAAAATAAACTTTTCCGGAAACGTCTGTGTTAACATCAGAGGAACTGACCGCATTCCCAGTGATCATGGGCTTGTTCATCATGGTGACAACTTAGATAAATCAGAATTGTTTCTGTCCTATGCTCTCTTTAAACAAAATAATAGCATTTTAACGACTTATGGGTAAGGAGGAGGTATGCAACAGAATTTTCTATACATATCTGTTCATCTGCAGAGTCCTATGGTTTGTTGACTAGATTTAGAAAATGATTGTACAAAACCACCTTTGTTCAGTGTGACTTACACAAAAGCCAAAATGAATGATCCATGGCTTTCAGGAGCGCAAAATACCAATATCAAAGAGGCACAGGATTAGTGAAGAATGGTTCACTAATTTCTTCCTTGTAAGGAAGATGTGGAGGGGCGACTGGGTGTTAATGGGCTAAAAAGGCTGCTTCGATCAAGGCTCTGGGGCCTGGAACACAAGTCAGTGTTGTGTTTGCAGCCACAGATTTCTACTTCTTTCCCTTTCCCACCGGATCACAGCTACTTGCTGGCTGTCCAGAGGAGAGATCAAGTGTTGTGTGGTAGGTCTTTCAAAAAGTGATTGATGCCCAGCCATGATGCTAGCAGCCCACAAAGGTATTGTAATCTTACAGCACAAGGCCTCTCCCTAAGTGGAGGGTACCTCCTCCTCGCCTTTGGAGGGATTCACACTGGAGACATCCTGTGTGCTGACAAAGTCTGTAAAGACTAGAAACGCAAAGGGAATTCCCAGAAAGAAAATCTGGAAGCCCAGGCCATCTCCAGGTCCTGCTACTGCCCAGACTGGCCTAGCCAGGAGAGAAACTTTGGAGAGGGCAAGGTGGTGGGGGAGTGGTCTGGCTGGCTGCCTAGGATATGGTGCTAAAGCAAGGGCCACTATGGGTCTGAGTCCAAGAACTATGTCCAGTTTCACTTTCTTTCCGGATCTGGGGTGGGGTAAGGATGGAAATTTAGAGAAGAGAAGAAGGTAGAAAAAAAGGGTACAATTTGCTACTGCTTTTTCTGCTCCTGCAACTGAGCATGCCTGGAAATGTGTGTGGAATTTCACAGTTTGGAGACTAGGGTACCCTTAAAAAATATGATCACTTTTCTATTAGGTGTCCTGCCCAACAACAGATACCGTTATCTATTGATTGGGTGTGAGATGAATTGGGCCCAGAACGACTGTGCCAATTTGGACCAAGATTAAACCACAGGCTTGAAGAGAGAAAGCCAGAACTGTCCAGGACCTGGGCTGACCCCTCAAAGTCCCTTCAGTGAAGCCATTATCCTGATGGCTGAGCTGTGGCCCAAGTGGGGCGCTCTGGGGGTGTGCCACTGCGGCTGGGGCAATAGGACCCGAAGAGAGAGAGCCAAGTGTTCCTGGAACCCAACGAGTACCGGAAAGGGACAGCTTCCTCCTCTCGAAGTCTAATTTTCTTCCAGGCCTCCCTCAGGCGAGCAAGTGGGCTCAGTCGCGCGAAGGAGCAACTACAGCTCCCCTCTGAAACCCCAAGAGCTTGGCTGCTCAGAGCCCGCCACCGTTAGCTGCCCACCCCCACTCCTAGGGCTTGCATTGAGGACTGTACTGTGGCCTTGCTTTCTAGAGGAGCCAGTGGTCTCTCCAGAGGCCTTGAAGGCCCCGCTTCCCCAATGCAGGGTGACGCCGGGTCCTAGGGGCCTTTTGCAAATTTGGAAGCGGGGAGGGGCCACAGCGGTGGTGGTGGGCGCCACTGCTGGGTCAGAGGCTCAGCTGGCCTTGCCCTGCCCTTGCCGGTAGGGCCTTAGCCCATCAGCCCTGACAGACCAAACTAGCTGGTGCCGAGCCACCCAGCCCCCGGGCGCGGTCCCCCGCGTCTGCCCCCGCCCCGCGCGCCCGCCCTGCGCGCCCTCTGACGCAAACGCCCGCCCCTGCCCAACACCAAGGAAAATGCTCTTGTTGGTTTTAATTGAGGCTCTTCGTTTCACACACACACACACAGAGAGACACACACGCACACGCACGCACACACACACACACGCACACACACCTCGGTCCCTACCCCTGGGAGGCGACCCCCCCTCCCCGCCCCAGCCCGCTTGCCGCGGCGCGAGGAGTCTGGCCCGGCTGCAGGGCTCCGCATCCTGGCGCAGCTCTCGCCGCCCGCCGCCGCCGCAGGTTCTCTGCTGGGGAAAACGCCTTGAAGTCCCCTTTAATCCGCTGACACTATCGCCCACATCAAACAGGCGGCCATCGATTGCGTTCCTTCAGGGAATCCCGTTACAAACGGCGCCCGCAGGTGGGCGGCTGAGCCGAGCTCGCCGGGTGCCCGGCGCAGCAGGCGAGACGCGAGCACAGAGGCCAGCCAGCTCCGCGTCACCGGCGGGGACCGCCAGGCGATGCCCAACTTGCGGGTCCCAACCCGAGGCCCCTGCCTGCCGCGGTGCGGGAGCTGGGGAAGAGCGCGCGGGGGGCAGGGTGGGGAGAAACCTGGTTTGAATTCGGGTTGTTGCGGGGCCAGCGGATTCTCCCCTCCAGGGAGGCGCCGCGGCTGGACCCAGGCCGGGGCCAGGGCCGCGCGCGAGCAGGCCCAGAGGCAAGTTCTCTGGTTCCGCGCGGGCGGCCACACTCCAGCCCCAGCCTCGGCGGGAGGCGGTGCAAGCCGGGTCTGCCTCCCTGCTTGGTGGCTTACCAAACCCAAGTTCAAAAGAAACGATCGTCACGGTGTTACTTGCCTGCTGTGGCCCGACTCTGGCGAGTCTCGCTTCTGGTGCCCACGACGCACGGTCCGGGGTCCGAGGTGGCTGGCCCGGGGCACCCGGCGTCCAGCAGGGGCCCGGATGCCTCGGCGCTCGCCCGCCCTCTCCGCCTCTCTGCGCCTTTCCCTCTCCATCTGCAGCCACCAGCCTGCTGCCTGGGCTCTCCACTCCCTGCCTCTGACTGCACGCGTAGTAAAATGTAGAATGTGTATACAAATTGATTCTTTTTCTTTCTTTCCTCGGTCCCTCTCACCAACCCTCCTCCCTCCCTGTATTTTAATCAAATTCCTTTCACCTTTTCCCTGCCTAGGAGACGTGAGCGCGTGTATTTGGGCACAGGGGGCCGGGGCCAGGGCCAGGAGCCCCGCCACCTCCGGTCTGCTCCTCGCTATCAGCTGCATACAATGGACCGCCGCGAGCAGAGTGAGCGACAATCTCTCCATTATTCGAGCTGAAGGGGTTGTGGGGCCGACAGGAGAAAGCCTTTATTCTGCTCTTAAAAAAAAAAATCTTCGCTTGTCACTAAGCTGTCTCAGACTCCCGACTTGCACGGTAGGAAAGACCAAGGGGCGCAAAACCTACCCCAAACGCGCTGTGCTTCCCAAACCCCTACCTGGCGAGATTTAAAGTGAGAGTCAGGATGAAAACAGCAGTAAGAACAACAGCAGCGACCCTACCTCTGTCAACACAGCGTGACCGTGTACTTCCACCTTTACCCGAGGGCGTGTTGGAGCTCGGAACGCGCGAGCTGTGACAAACTTTTACGCTCTCCGGAGTCGAGGGGTGGGCGGGCGAGCGCGGCTCCCACCCCCGGCGGCGGCCGCGGCAGCGACAGCGGAGGCTTTGTCACTCGGCGCGCCCGCCCAAGCCTGCCTAGGGGAGCGATCTCCAAACGGGGGGTGGGGGGTGCGAGTGTGGGATTGGAGAATATGTAACTAATAGAAGTATCATTTTCCCTCAGTACGATCTTTCAAGGGAAAAAAATCCATTGAAAGATTTTCAAAGTGCTGTCTTGGTTTGGAGAAAAGACTCAGGCTGCCTGCGGGGAGGGGCGGAGAGACTGCGCCGAGTGCCGCCCGGGAGCGGCTCCCGTCCGCTAGGTGGCAGCCGGAGCCAGCGATTCCTGCAGGCCCGGCGGCGGGACCCGCTCCTCCCGCGGCCCCTCCTCCTGCGACCAATCACCTTCGGGAATCGGGGTCTCAGCCTCCAGCCCCCTCCCGGGCAGCGGCCCCTCTCCCTCTCCTTCTCCTTCGCTCTCTGCTTCTCCTCCCCCTCTCCTCCTTCCTTTGCTCTTTTCCTAGGACTCCGACTTGGCCTCCCTAACGCACCCCGCCACGATGCGAAGACTTACTACTGTTTTATTAATAATTATGGAAGCATTGTTTGGAGTTTGGAAGAGCCTGGAATTTTTTTTAAAGGAAAAGCCAGATTAATTGGAAAGTTTATTTTAAAATTATCTTTGGGATGAAAAAGGAACCGCTGATTCAGTTCCAAATCGTGGCAATACTTGCAAATTTCACTCGTGTGCATTGTCGTAATTAATCCTTCAAAACCAAAATACACTCTGGATCAAAAAATAGGGAGACGCTACCTTTATTCTGAAAAAAAAATGACACAAAATGAGCAGAATCCAGACTAGGGTTATGTATAACATGTGAAAGAAGAAAACAATCCAAATCCAGTCTATTTCGCAGATCACTAAAGTGGAGGGGTTGCTTTCCCACTGAAATGTCCCCCCCAACCAACATTTTCAATGACTCTTTTCACGCTCACAAAATCTAATTTTAAAAACTTTTCAGAATAGAAATAATTTCATCTTCTTTTTCTCCTTCTGTTTCCCATCGCAAGGCATTCTCCCCCTCGTCAACCCTTCCCCCTCTGGGGCGTGTGTGTGTGTGTGTGTGTGTGTGTGTGTGTGTGACCATAGACGACCCATACTAATCAGGTCTCAGAGTAAATAGCAGCGCAGGGCGATCTCCATGTAAATTGCGCTTGTCAGAAGCAGCTCCCCCCCCCCCTACTTTCTCTCCTCCTCCCCTCGCTATCCCAGACTGTAGGTAGCTAAGAGGGAGGGGAAAAGAAAAAAGAAAAAAAAAGAAAGAAAGAAAAAGAGGAGGGGGAGGGGCTCGCCAGCCAATGGCGTGCAGGAGGCTTGGCTAACCTTAGCCTCCCATTCTCTCTCCCCCCGATTCAGGGCTCTGACCAGTCAGTCGCCTTTGATTATCAGTTGCCAGCAGCCCTTCTCTTGGCTCCTTGACACGAGCTCCATATAAGGCAGCGATCTCCATAGAAACGTGTCAGTTTCAATAGTAGTGTCAAAGTTCACTATATACAGACATTCGCGCAGATCCCCCTTTCGGAAACACTGCTCTGCGAGTCCTCCCGTTTAAACGCATTCAATTTTTGGGTCTCTCTCTCTCTCTCTCTCTCTCTCTCTCTCTCTCTCTCTCTCTCCCTCCTCTCTCTCTTCCTCTCTTCTTCTCTCCTCTCCTCTCTCTCTCTCCCCTCTCCCTCCTCTCTTCTCTCTTCTCTCTTTCCCTCTCGCCCTCTCTTCTCGCTCCCTCTCTCCTCTCTCCCCTTTCTCTTTTCTTACATATTTTACTAGTTTCCCCTCTTCTCCTTCTTCCTCTCCTTTCTCTCCCTCCTCCTTGTCTCTTTTACTCCATTCCTGCAGAGGAGAGAAGACTAAACTTAAAAAAAAAAAAAAGGAGGAGGAGGAGGAGCACCCCTCGTATTCTTATCGTTATTTTATACATATATGATTTTTTGGGAGGGAGGGTGTTGGTTCCCGGCTGAAGAGCACTTATTTAAAATACTAAAAAAAGAACATTTTTGGGCGATCTCCAGGGTTTTTTAACTAGCTCTGTGTGTTATAGCAGAAGAAGCAGAAGAAGCAGCAAGAAAGGAAAAGAAGAGGATTATTTATTCGACCTACTTTGGATGTCTCTCTCGCTTTTTCTTTTTTCCTTTTTTCCTGTTTTTAATTTTGCAATTATTTTCTTCTGATTTTTAAATTTTTTCCTATCTCGCTGTGAATTCGTCGCCGGCGTGAATTATCTCGCATTTTTCTCCCCCTTCCGTCACCTCCCGAAAGAAGAAGGCAGCGAGAGCCCGGCGCCACCGGCACAACAAAAAGAGCAAAGTGTGTGATCCTCCTCGCCGGCTGCCTCCCGCTCTCCAGCGCTGCCTTCCTGAATGGCTGGCTGCGTCCGGCCCTGGACCTGGCCCCCCGACACCCGCGCGCCCTGATCGCCGCCGCCAGCCTCGCCCCGCGTCCGGCTCGGCTCAGCCCACCGCTCCCCGCACGCTCGCGCCCCGCGAGGGCTCCCGCCGGGACAGCGGCGGCGGCGGCGCGGGCGGCCCGGCCTCGCCGCGCGCTCGGGCTGCGGCCCCGACTCCGACGCGCACTCCGGCCCGGGCCCCGGCTCCTCCAGCGGCGCTCGCGGCCGCCGCTGCTCCAGCGGCGCCTGCAGCCGCGACCTCCTGCTCCTCCTCCCGCTCCGGCTGCTCCGGCTCCGGCTCCGGCTCCGGCTCCGGCTCCGGCTCGTGCTCCCGCTCCGCCGCCGCCGCCGCCCTCGCCGCTTCCTCTATGTCGGCTCAGCCCGCGCGCTGCTGCTGCTGCTGCGCGTAGCCCGAGCGGCCGGCGGGCGCCCGGCGCGGTGAGCGAGTGTGTGCGCGAGTGTGTGTGTGTGAGTGTGTGTGTGTGAGTGTGTGTGCGCGCGGGGGTGCGGGCGAGGCGGAGGGCGAGTGTGTGCGCGCGCCGTGGCCCATGCCCGCCGCCCCCGGCGCTGCGCCCCGCGCCGCTCCCGGCTGCCGCCGCCTGTGCCATTTCTGATTTTGCAACTTGGGGAAGAAGAAAAAAGCGAGAGAAGGGAGCTCGCTCGCCTGGGGGTGGGGAGGGGGGAAGGAGAGAGCGCGGCCCCCCCAGGAACGGCGCGCGGGGGGGAGCGGGCGAGGGGAGCAGAGGTGTTGGGGGGGGGGAGCCTCGGAGCCTGGGGGGGCTGCAAAAAGAGAGAAAGAAAACAGCAGGAACCACAACAAAACGCCAGCAGGGCGGGCGGGCGCGCGGCAGCAGCAGCGGGGCGGCCGAGGCAGTAACGGCGGCGGCGGCGAAGGCGGAGGAGGCAGCGGCCGGTGCCCGGCTCGGGCTCGGCTCCCGCGACCCCGGGGCGCCCGGCGGGCCCCCCGCCCCCTCCCCCTCCCCCCTTCCCCTTCCCCTTCCCCTCCCAGCGCGCCCGCGCGCCCCGCGGCCCTCGGCGAGCAGCTCGGCTCCCCCCAGCGCTCCCCGGGCCCAAAGATATGGCAATGGTAGTTAGCAGCTGGCGAGATCCGCAGGACGACGTGGCCGGGGGCAACCCCGGCGGCCCCAACCCCGCAGCGCAGGCGGCCCGCGGCGGCGGCGGCGGCGCGGGCGAGCAGCAGCAGGCGGGCTCGGGCGCGCCGCACACGCCGCAGACCCCGGGCCAGCCCGGAGCGCCCGCCACCCCCGGCACGGCGGGGGACAAGGGCCAGGGCCCGCCCGGCTCGGGCCAGAGCCAGCAGCACATCGAGTGCGTGGTGTGCGGGGACAAGTCGAGCGGCAAGCACTACGGCCAATTCACCTGCGAGGGCTGCAAAAGTTTCTTCAAGAGGAGCGTCCGCAGGAACTTAACTTACACATGCCGTGCCAACAGGAACTGTCCCATCGACCAGCACCATCGCAACCAGTGCCAATACTGCCGCCTCAAGAAGTGCCTCAAAGTGGGCATGAGGCGGGAAGGTGAATATTTCTTCTCTGCTTCCGTCCCCGCGCTTCGCCCGCCTCCCTGGCTCTTTCTTTCTCTCACCCCGGTGGCTGGTGTGGGGCTGGGGCTCCTGTGGTCCCGGCCTGTCCCAGCTTCCCCTGTCCCCGCTGCTTTCCTCCCCCAGCGCCCCCCCCACCTCGCTGCCGCTGCCTCCCCCTCCCAGCCTGCGCTCCTCTCCCGGCTCCCCCACCCCGCCCGCCGCCTGCTCAGGATTGTGTCCCTGGGACGTGAGCTGTGGCTGCAGATTGTCTCCCTAACCCTGTTGGCTGTGCTCGGTGTGTGTCTCTTTCCCGCGCGTGCGTGAGGATGCTTGGGGCTGTGCTGGCATGAACTTGGGCATGTATGCTCCCCCCCCCAACCAGCGCTGTTTTCTGTGTTTTTTTTCACTCCACTCTTTCCTGCACCTCTTCATATCATTTATTTAAAATGGGAGGGGGGCTGGAGTACCCTGAACCTTAGATTCATTGCTGCCATCCTCCTTTTGCAAGCCTAGCTTGGAAAAAGAGGAGTGAGATTTATTGCACTTGTAGGTCTAATTAGGGGGGAAGAGGGGCTCCTGGCCTGTTCACTGGTTCCTTCTCCTCTTCATGGAGCTGGGGCCGCCTCCTCCAGAGCTGTGGCCTTGTTTTCACCCCTCTACTTTGAAAGGAAAGTTTGTGACTGAATCGTGCTTTCATAGTAGTGTCATTTTTTTAAAAGCATGATACTCATTTTATTTCTTCATCAAACTCCACCCTCTGCTTAAATACTGCATACAAATTACAATTTACAACGGCATTTACTGATCCTTCTGATTTGGCCATAATGCATAGACTGCAGCTGGCATGAGCTTCCACATCATTTAATCTGTGTGTTGTATGGGTTTCTTTTTTTTTTTTCCACAACTTTTGATGTGGTATTTGGATATGCTTCATGTTCATGTGGCAAGAGATGCAGTGATTTTCTTATAAATATATTTAGCTGTTTATAGTTAAAGTTTATCTCCTGACAATCATTAAAGATTGTCTTATCATCAAATTAGTGAACCAGTCAATTTTGCAGAATGCAGATTACTCCTTCTTGTAATTGACTTTAAAATTATATTTTATATGCCACAAGAAAAGAAATTGAATTCCTTCAGATCTCAAGGAGCAGGCAAATATGACGACTTCATTTCTAGCTCCAGGGAGATTTTGTAGGCATCTGGAAAAAAAAAAAATTTTGAATTGTGCTCTCATTTAATTGAAAAATAACTGCCAAGTTCAAAACTATAATTAGAAAAAAAGTATTCTAGCCATTATGTTTCAGGAGCTTAAATTGCACTGGAACTTGCATTGAAATTAGAATCAAAGCAAACTTAAGAAAAAAGTGTACAACCTGAAATACGACAGCTACGTGTACATGGACATATCTATATCAATTGTTGGGGGGAGATTTCAGTACCCCTAACTTTCCCTAAAGTTGTCTTTGTTTACATGGCAATTTAAAACACTGGCACTGTTGAAGAAAAACATACACATTAAAAAAAAAAACTTTGGTCAGCTTTAAGAACTCAAAGCATGCTTACGTTTTGCATTCAGATGGTTAATGAATCCAGTGTTTTTGCAGTTGCAAGCTCGTGCACTCACTGGGCAAAGCTGGCTGCAGGTTGCAGTGACACCACGCAGGACAGACATTAATTATATTCCCCACTTTTTTCAATAATGTTTGGCTACTGTAAGTTCAACTTTTTTTCTTGAAATTTTTCGATTTTCTGTTGCTTTTAATAGCGAGAACTTTGAATGGGGCGACGGGGGAGGAGGGGAGAGGGGAGGGGTGCGGGGTACTTGCTCTCCACTCAAAAGTTGTAAGTGGTTAGTAGGACGTGGACCTCGTATCTGTTGTGAGGATAATTCTATAGCATTTTTAGAGAATATGGAATCATTTTACGTGCAAAACGCTGATTGTTTGCAAATGAAGAGGCCGCTAGGCATTTGCCTTGAACCACAACCTTTCTCAGGTTTCGCCTTATCATTATTATTACTATTATTATTATTAACCCTGCCTTGTTACACTACGGAGGGGTGAGTGGGGTTGCCGTGATCCGTGTGTACCTTCTTGGTGATCTAGGGGTTGGGTGGCACTCTGTGGGCCATTCGGGGCTGGGGGCTATGAAGTCAGGCCTAGTTCCACTGGGGCGGAGGTGGCCAGGGGCGCAGGCTACAGCTGACCACCTCGGACTGCGAAGCTGAAGGGCCTCACCCTGCATCTCCTCGCGGCCTGGGCCACGGCGGGAGAGCCAGGAAGATGCAAGGCGCCGGGCGCCAGTGGCTGCGGGAAGAGCCTCTGCATTGTGTCGGGTGCGCTGCGGCGGCGGCGGCGGCGGCGGCGGTGTTCTGCAAGCCCCTGGATGCACATTGCCTCTTTTCTCTCTCTCTTTTTGTCAGCGGTTCAGCGAGGAAGAATGCCTCCTACCCAGCCCAATCCAGGCCAGTACGCACTCACCAACGGGGACCCCCTCAATGGCCACTGCTACCTGTCCGGCTACATCTCGCTGCTGCTGCGCGCCGAGCCCTACCCCACGTCGCGCTACGGCAGCCAGTGCATGCAGCCCAACAACATCATGGGCATCGAGAACATCTGCGAGCTGGCCGCGCGCCTGCTCTTCAGCGCCGTCGAGTGGGCCCGCAACATCCCCTTCTTCCCGGATCTGCAGATCACCGACCAGGTGTCCCTGCTGCGCCTCACCTGGAGCGAGCTGTTCGTGCTCAACGCGGCCCAGTGCTCCATGCCGCTGCACGTGGCGCCGCTGCTGGCCGCCGCCGGCCTGCACGCCTCGCCCATGTCCGCGGACCGCGTCGTGGCCTTCATGGACCACATCCGCATCTTCCAGGAGCAGGTGGAGAAGCTCAAGGCGCTGCACGTCGACTCCGCCGAGTACAGCTGCCTCAAAGCCATCGTGCTGTTCACGTCAGGTGAGCCGCGGCCGGTGGCGGAGGCCAGGCCAGGCCAGGCCGCGCGGCCAGGGCCCTGCTGCCCGTCCGCCCCGCGCGCGCCCCCAGCAGGGCCGCTCGGACCTGGGCCTGGAGGGGACGCGGGGCCAGGGCGCTGCGCCGCTGCCATCTTGGAGCGCGCCGTGCGGGAGCCGAGCTGCGCGGGTGCGGGCGGCCGGCGCCGGGCCTGGTGGCCGGGACCCCGCGCGGGGCCTGGGCTGCGGCGGTGGCGGCGGCGGCGGCGCGTGAGCGTTGGGGGGAGCCGGGAGGCGCTGCTGCGGACGCGGCTGGCTGCGCGTGAGTGCGGGTGTGTGCGCGCGGTGTGTGTGTGTGTGTGTGTGTGTGTGTGTGTGTGTGTGCGTGCATGTGTGAGCCAGAGCTCAGCGTTTCTGGGGGAGGAGAAGGGAGCAGGAGAACGTGGGAACGTGGCTTTCTACTCTGTGTGGCACGTTCCCTGGATGAGTTTTCCCCGGCAGAAAGAGACACACACAGACAGAGAGATGGAAGGAGAAGAATCCGCACGAATAAATCATAAATAATCCCACTTTATTGCTGCCTGATTTTCCCTTATCGGAAACCATTCATGTTTGCAGTCGCTGAGGTTATTGAGAGTCGTAAAAAATGGATTCGATCTAAACAAGAAAGATAAAAAACAAAAGCAATACTGTAGAACCCGCAAGTACGAGAGGATTCCCGGCCCCCCGAGATAAATTTCAGAGCTATGCAAAACCCATGAACCCTGGAAATTTAAAAGAGTGCCTTTAAAATATCAAATTAAGTGTAGGCGGTGGTAACATGCATGTTAACAATTTCTCTTATGATAGATGTTTCAAATTAACTTCCAGGAAAGTGTATTAATGTTGCCTTTGAAGGGCTCTGGTCTGAGCCTCTGAGAACACTACTCGCCTTTTATTATTGTAACCTGCAAGAGGGAAACATATAAACACCCGTACAGCAGGTAACGGGGGGAAATATAAACAAAGCCAGAAAGGTGGGGAACAGAGCCACTCAGGCTGGGACTTGGGCCTTGCACACTGTGAGCAGAGTGAGCTGCAGTTTTACCATGGTTATTAGCACTATTGTTTTTAATTCCTGCGTTTGGAGAACAAATAAACCATTCTAATAAATCTATCCGAGAGCCAGGCCCTCCAAAGGCCAAATTAAAACCATTCTTGAGCAGAGATGGCACAAGCTCCTTTCCCAAGGCATTGTGGAACAGTAATCGGTGGGATAATCTATCAATATTTCTTGGCTTTCATGCGTGAAGAATCGTATTTACATTGTATTAAAATGACTCTTAAATTTGCACAATATTGTAATGTTGCAAATGTAGTATTAATATCGATCTGAACAGCAGATAATTTATTTAGACAAGAGCATCTCATTTGTATGCAGGGTGGCCAGAGCCATGGACTTGGACTGCCCCCTTTTACTTTCACTGCAAATGCAGGTCCACTGGTGAGAGAGGGAGTTATTCTTTGCAAGAGGATAAACTGGGAACCTTAAAACAAATGGAAGATTTATTGAATTGCCTCCTCGGTGTTTGAATGCATTTTATCTTAATAAGTCTTCTTGATGGAAACGTGTTTTTCAAAAGTGACAAAGAGCCTGGGAAGCAGCGACCAGGCTGCTTCAGCTCTGGCAGGCCTGGGGCCTGGCTGGCTCTCCACCACCCGGCTCTTAAGCCAAACTCATCAGGAAGCGAGCCAGTGTCAGGGAAGCTGGGGGTTTAAAATCTCATCCAGTGAGGTGTCTGGAAGCAGAAATGTAACTTGGAGCCGGACAGAGGTCCTCTCAAGAAAGGTTTCCCCTCCCTTTTCCTAGTCCCCCCTCATCGAGGTTCTTTGAACCCCTTTGACTTTGCTGATCTCATGCCCTTTCCCAGAGAGAGGCGAGGACTGTGCAGGCTGCAGGGAACATTGTGGAATTATTCATGCTTTTCTTTTAACTTTCCATCCTAAAACATTCCTGTCAGAAGTGTTCCTTAAAAAAAAAAAAGTAGTTTTCCTAAGAAGTTTCTTAAACCAAGTCTTCAAGGTGCAAGGGGTCCCTAGAAGTGAACAATAACATTATTTTGCTGGAAAATTGCGAGCAGAATATCTGAAAATGGAAATAGAGCTGTCAGTAGTAATTCAGCCCCCCTCCTCCATACACCACATTTCCACTTTTGACTAAACTTGTTTTGATTGCCAGCCAGAAGGGAATTCATGGGAAGCCTTCTCAAAGTCATCCAACTTTTAAGCAAACTTTGAATGATGGAAAAGACAGTTTTAGACATATTGTCCAACGTGGTTTGCTCTGGCTAAGTATTTGAAGCTGGCATGGGGGTCCCCTGTGGTGGTTTTCACATTTGGCCTCCGGATGGTATGTTTAATCCTTAATATTCTGGACAGCATCCAAGGACTAGGTCGTGACCTGAACTTACTTTTAAAAAAATACATTAATTCATACACCTAAATATTCCTTCAAATAAATGAGACCATCTTTGAAAGGACCCATCTAGTTAACATAAATACAATAAATCCATTTTCAGCACAATAATAACTTTGATTTCTAGTTATGGCAGCTGATTACATCTATATTTCCTGAACACTAAATTCTTCTGAATGCACAACATGAAATACATTCTCTGCACTACAAAGGCTAAGCCGGGAGGGCCTGAGCAGTAATGGTTATTTATTTACATAATTTCTTTTCCATACACTGTAAAAGAAATATTGAGGGTTCCCACATTGACACTACCATATAAAAAGTGAGACATGGATTTTGCACATTCTTCCTCCTTTTCTTATCAGAACTATAACTCTCAGAGTGTAAATATCACCTGCATTGTAGCCCCTGCCAGCCTAGCTTTGCCACTGTATATCCCAGTTGCTATGAGAGCCCCATGATCTGTCCACAGCTGGGAGAATCCTTTTGCAAGAGGGTGAATAAATACTGTAGGTGCAAAGCCAGGCCAGAACCAGGGCTCCTGCCCAAGCAGCATCACAGGGCAGGCCAGCTGGTAACCTGGCAAGTGAGCCCAGCTGCAGGCACTCTACCTTCTTTGAGAAAAGAAATGGAAGCAGCCAGCACAGGGCCCAGGCACATCTTTCCTGGGCTTTTCTGTCTTGGAGTAGCCCATGTATGTTGTGGTTGGAAAATGACCTTGCACTTCAGGAACTCTAGTGATAAATATCAGATAAATGTTTTAGTAACCTGAGGGATACCATAGGGACCTTTTTCAGAAATCTGCCGGAGTATCTATCATTGGGTCCTTTTTAAGTTGCATTGCGTGTCTCTGGGGTGATCCATGGGTTCATGGACAGATAAGGCATGAAAAGCAAGATTGGTGTAAGATTTACATAAATATGTGTCCATGTTGTGGCCATTTGATGGAGCCAGGTTAGCAGTGGGGTCAAGGGCAGCCCTTAGTCTGCACAACCAAGCCCCACAGAACTCCTGCCTTGGCCCTACTGTGGTAAAACCTCACTGGCTTCCCAAGGCAAGCCAGTATGGATGCATGCACCCAGCGAGCTGGAGTAATTAGACATCTGAGAGGAACCCAGTCTGAACTGGAGGTCAAAGGGTACTTGCCTCAGAAGTTCTTGAGTTATGGCTAGTTTTATTTGTATTTTTGCTCTAGGCCATAACCTTATAGATGAAGGTGTTAGATGCTTTGTAAATCCTAGTTCTTGAACTATAAGGACAAAAAACTTAGAAATTTAGCCGACACTGGTTTTGCTTTGAATCATTTGTTATGTCTTCTTAAGGTCACATCTGCCCATTCACAATTATACCATGTCCTTTTGAGGACAGACCATGCATGAATTGCTCCCCAGATCTATATATTAGCAAACTCTGTCTTTGATCTCTTGTCAACCTGGTTAAGGGTTCCTCTGTGATCTTCCTGTTTTTAAAATATTTATTAATAATACAAGAAACAACATGGGTATTTGAACTAAGAAGGAAGCCTTTCCTCTGTTCCTCTGACTCCGCCATCCCCTCCATGTGCTTGCCCCTGGTTAGTTGATATAGTAAATCATCTGTCTTAAAATATTTTCAGACAACCAAGAAGGGCCTTGGTTGGTGTGAAATTTTGAGGTGCCATCATTGTGTGGAGCTGCTTTTTTCTCCTTGGGCCTCCCCCACTCCCAGATCCTCCTTCACCCTCCACTTCCTGGGCAGCAGCAGCTGCCCCCCACCCAGCTTTGTGTCTGATCCCTGAAGATGTCTCCTTTCCGAAGCCTGGAGTAACTGAGCCATATTCCTCCTGATTAGTATACAGCTTACAGAGATGTGACCAATTTTCAATTACTTGATCTCTAGCACAGATAGAAGTGTACACTCTCACAGAGGATTTGCTGCAGAGTCCTTGCTTGCATAGATAGTGGATCTCAAATCCTATATTGCTAAAGCATGGGTTTGATCTGATTCTAGGCAGTTCCTTACCCCTGCCTACACGTGCGCTCACTACACAATCCCGGTTCTCCTTGAGCTTTCTGGCTGGGGTCATTGGATTTGAGAAGACTCCGAGAAACCTTTAAGAACTGCCTCAAAGCTATATATTTCTACAGGGGTCCTGAACACCCTGGAATCAGGAGCAAAAGGGGCAAAAGTCCTCCCTTTAATGAGTACAACCAGAAATACGCTCCCCTGCAGGCGAGGACAGGTCGCTATCCACAGCAAACATGGCCCCAGTGTCGTACATTATTTACTCCAAAGGTGAAGCAAGAAAAACAAAGAGAGGAAAGGGGATGCTGCTTGTGCGTGCGTGCGTGTGTGTGTGTGTGTGTGTGTGTGTGTGTGTGTGTGTGTGTGTCTGCAGCGTCCCAGGGCCAGGTGGGGGTTTGATTTATTTTTATTGGTATGGGAGCTGGGGGCAGGGGAAGATTTTCTTTCCCCTTCCTGTTTTTCTTCTTGCTTTTCTCCCTGAAATAAAAATTGATAGCATGTTTTTCGTGGCCCTGCTGCTCCCTGGCTTAACCGTATGCCTCCTTTCCCTGTCTCTTCCTCCTGTGCCCCTGCGGGCAGATGCCTGTGGCCTGTCGGATGCAGCCCACATCGAGAGCCTGCAGGAGAAGTCCCAGTGTGCCCTGGAGGAGTACGTGAGGAGCCAGTACCCCAACCAGCCAAGCCGTTTTGGCAAACTGCTGCTGCGACTGCCCTCCCTGCGCACCGTGTCCTCCTCCGTCATCGAGCAGCTCTTCTTCGTCCGTTTGGTAGGTAAAACCCCCATCGAAACTCTTATCCGAGATATGTTACTGTCTGGGAGCAGCTTCAACTGGCCTTACATGTCCATCCAGTGCTCCTAGAGCTCGGCAGGTTCCACCGCCCCTGCCCCCTCCCCTAGAGATGGAGAGACTCCTGAGGGCCAAGGACTCCGAAGCCTTAGGGGCTGCAAGTGCTGAGAGCCAGGCAGGCCAGGGGGAGGGGGCTGGGGACAGGTGCCCGCCCCGCAGCAGTGCACCATGCGAGCGAGCGAGCGCTACAAATCAGGAGAAAGAGACTCTCTTAGGATCAGATCTGTGAGCACGTTGGAAAGGGAAGAAAGAGGATCTTGTGTCTAGTGAGAAAATGAAAAAAAAATTTGGAAGAGAGGACCATTGAGAATTTTAATAAAACAGAAGGAAACTAATGGACCTTCCAGGATTTATTGTGGACGGCTGTGGATATATTCTGTACAGAAAACAACACCTATGGAAGTGGACTGAATCCTATGTAGAAACACACACACAGACACACCGAACATTGTTATTCATTTTGTAAAATACTAGTCTTTATTTTCATTTTTTGTAAAATTTAAACATCGTATGCGCATAAAAAAGGAAACAAGAATTAGGGGAAAATAACATTTTCCAAATAATTATAAAAATTGTCCTGTGTCTATGTATCTATATCTGTTTTGTATTTTTTTCTGGTTCCAAACCAGATTTCCTGTGATTCTATACTAATAATTTTTGATATAACCCTTTGCTTCTTATAATGAGTGCGATATATGTTGTCGAGACTGTTCTTCAAGAATTAAAATTGAAGTGAAAATTTAAACAAAAATAAAAGAATTTAGCAAAACCCATGTGTCTTGTTGCTTAAGTAATGTTATTAGTGCAAAAGAAACCCCTTCCACTTGAACTGTTGTGGAAAACTGGAGTGTTTTTTCGGGAGTGGGGAGAGACGTTTAAAGTCCAATACCAAGTTGGCAATGCTCATTTCCTACAACTAGCTGTTGGCCTAGCTTTATGCGCAGGGCCAGGTTGTGTGCGGGCTGGGTCTGCCGGCAGGACAGGGAAGGATACCTGAATCCCAGACAGCAGCCGGCAGGGCGCTTGGGCCGGCCGGGTCACCCAGCGCCACGGCTAGGGCAGCATCTGGGCCTGACCGCAGGTGGCTACGTTCTGTTCTGCGCTGGAGAGGTTTTGGAGCAATGCAAGGCCCAGGCCGGGTGCTGGGGAGCAGTTAGAAGAGGGACGCCTGCCCTGAGGCCTCTGAGCCCTGTGCCAGTTAGGAGGTTTGGGGCAGTTAGTGGCTTCCACATCCCCCAGCTCGGGATGGAGCCTCAGCGCTGGGATACCTAATTCTACAGTCCGCTTAAGGCCTGGCTGTGCCTTGTGCTTCCCTCCAGATCCCATCGCAGGGGGTCCCAAGAGGGTTCTGGCACCCGGATGGGCAGGCACAAGGCCCCCTCACCCCCTGCATCCGATGTGGCACTTAGCAGGGTGCCGATCTGGAACCCAGGAGCTGGGGTCAGCAGCACCTGAGCGAGCCTCTCTCCGAGGACGCTTTTTTGGGGCTCTTGCCCCTGGCAGGGCATAAACCTCCCTGTGAGGCCTCTGGCTTGGTATGCGTGGGGGGCAGCTCTCTGTAACAGCTTTCAGAGCATGAATGTTTTATAGGATCTGAGCTGGAGCTGTGAGAACACATACTGCCAAGGGAGCTCTTTCTTAACGTATTAATAAAGCCAGATCTTTAAAAATAACACCTCTCACCCGTCCCCCTCCCCCTAGCCCCAGACAGTCCCGGATGAGGCAAGCTCTTCACTTTCAGAAGTCACTGGCAATGTTTTGCTTTCAGTTTGCCGGTCTAGAAGTCTCTAGGTCCTCCCCCTCCAAAATGTATTAACAAGCTCCTACACTCCACGCAACCCGCTTGAGGTTTCTGATATTTTGGGATGCAGCGCAGCATGGGCAGTGCCCAGCAGACTGTGGAGATGCCCCCGCACACCCAAGATTAGAGGGCAAGATGGCAGGTGGTGGCCTGAGTGAGGGTGGCTGGATCCACAAAGCCTGGACCCCCCAACACTTTCCTCATTTTCTGCCCCAGGCCCAGGGGCATCTTACAGCTGAAAGTGACTTTCCTGTAGGTTGGACACCTAAGACCAGAGAGGTGTGCAGAGACATGCTGCTTAACCGCTGGTGGCGGGGAAACTCTCCATCCCAGTCACACTGCTTTTCCTGTCTTGGGGTGTGGTGGGCTGCTGCTAAGGGGCTGGCTTGGGAGAGGGGAGCAGGTTCCCTCCCAGAGCTCATGGATCTTTCCTGCCTTTCTGGAAATGAGATGTAAATATATTCATTATGGTGTGATCCCTCTGATGAAAACAGATAAACATTTTCGTAGGTCGGAAATGTACTTTTCAATTAATTTCAATATGGAGGCCTGAATACAAGGCCGCTAGTATGGAGACTGAGAGCAAAGGCCAGTGACATAGGAGTGCTTGCTCTGGTGTTCAGAGGTGACAGTGGACCCTTGACTTTTGCTCTTGGGTCCAGAGGTTTGCTCAGGATCAGTGCAATTGAGGCTGCTTTTATAAACTCTGATGGGGCCAATCTACCCAGCAAAGGGGGAGGCAGGCCTTCCCGTGGACTCCCTTGTGGGCTCTTCCAGGAGCCCTGTGGCCGGGAAAATAGGAGCAAACGGGGGTCCTTTCAGCAGTGGATTTCTCTGTTGTCTCTTCAATTGCTGGGGTGCCCTTCTCCTTTTGCCTCTGTAATATACCCAGAGAAATACTGGTATTGCCAGAATCAGAGATCTCTGTCTCATTAAGAGACAGAGCCTCTCAAGGACTCAGGCTATGCAAGCCCAAAGGCCTTGCACACTCAAGGCACGGAAAGGATTCAGGAATCTCCTCCTGCTAGGGGAAAATTTAGGAACCACCAAAGCAGCATCTAAAGGAAGGGCTAAGCCTTGTGACAACTGGGAATCCAGCTCTCCACATTGACATCTCTCTCCACCTCCTACTGGCCTCACCACTGTGTCTGTCTCTGGGGCTTAGGAAGGCCGCAGTGACTGAAAGAGCAGACACTTTCAGCTGTAAGATGCCCCTAGGAAGGGAAGGGGAGGGCCCAGGCCTCAGGAATAACCAGGCTGCCCTGACTGCACCCAGGGGCTTTCTCTGGGTTTTGGTCACTGCTGGCCCAGGACCTGGACAGGAAGCAAGGTGGAGTAGGTGGGGATCTCTCCTGCCTGGGTATCAGCCAGGAGGCCCCTGGGCCAGCCTCCATGCCAGGCACCAGGGGGAGCCATGGAACTCAGGTGCGAGGCTGCATGCTGGTGTGGGCCAGATGGTTAGTTGCCTTTGCCTGGAGCCTGGAGCTCTGCCTAGGCCTGGGCCCGGCCATGCTGTGGGAGTTCGAAAGAGTCTGAATGTAGAGCTAGGTACGGGGTCCAGGTAAAACCAATGGCTTCTCTGGGCCAGAGAAAATACAGCTCACCAGTTTGAGAGCAGCTCACCTAAAAGGACTTCACTCTCGAAATTACCTGTGACCCTGGATTTTCTGTGCTTTATTCTAGCTTGAACACTTGCTGGACAGCTGAGAACTTTAAGGACTTTGAAATCAGTTTCAACTACTTTAGCTACAAGCTTTGCTGCAAGCATCTGAAAGGCCATCTCAGGAGTCCTGTTCTCTAGGACAATTAGGGAACAGGGCTGAGCCTTTCTGGCACCACCTGGGAGGAAACTATGACCTTAAATTCACCCCGCTGTCCTACATATCCTGGGACCAACTGGGTGGAAGGAAGTCCAGGGGTGGGGATGCAGGTCCTATCCACCAGGACCATTGGGGGTCCAGGTCTCTGCTGCTGGAGTTGGGCAGGGTTTAACTCTGGCAGCAGCACATGGAGGACTCTGGGAGGTCCAACTGCTCTGAGAGGTCCAACTGTCAGGGGAGCTTGGGATCTAAAGCCTGGCCATTCATAACCCACTTGAGCTTGTCTCCTTGGAGCATTCAAAAAAATATATTTAAAACATATTCTTTCTCCTCTTCCTGGACTCGTAGGCACACCTTATATTCCTACAGTGGCTGAATCGCCTCCCAGGATCTCTGTGATTCCTTGGAAGAAATCACCTGAATATCTCTGCGAATAGGAGACCAGGAGGAGCAGGGTGGGGAGAGAGTCGAGGGGACCACAAGTGGGAACTAATAAAACTCTTGTTAAAGGGCCTGCTTGGGATCCCTGGTGTCACTGGGCCTTTTCCTTGGGAAACCAAGGAGTTGTATTCCTAAATGAGTTAAAGACCCATTTACCTCTGTCGTGTTCTATTCATCAAGCCACAAGTTGAGAGTTCCTAACATGAAACTATTTGTTTGCTTACACAACCAGCTGGGTGCAATTTCACGTCTGAGATATCTATCTGAAAGCGCCTCTCATTTATTATCTCTCCTTGTCAGCGAATCCATTTTCCAGGCCCCCTCCCCCCTTTGGAGTTTACTTTATTTATTTATTTATTCATTCATTCATTATTATTTGTGGGGGAAACTTCTCTGTCAGGCAGGACCTTGCGCTGGGATGCTCCGTAGGAAGCAGCAGCTCCTGGTGCAGGTTGGTTGTTCGTGCCCAGTGCTCAAGCAAGGCTACAGCTGACCTAGGCTGGCTGGTGGGCCAGCCTGGGCATGGGGTGGGCCTGGCTGGACACTGCAGAGCCGCTCCATTGTCTTGCCTGATATCCTGCTCCCAGCCCCACCCCACCCTGCGTCAACTTCAACCACCTGTGTGAGGAAGGGGCCATGGAGGTGGGGGGTCGGGAAGTGAACCCAGGAACCTTTCCCCAAGAGGGGGACTCCAGATTTGGGTTGGATCCATGCTTTCACAAAGCCTCACCTAGTCCCATGGGGCCAATTTCTTCTCCCTGGCCGGCCGGAGGCAGAGTGAGTAGCCAAGATGTAAATAGTTACGTGATGGGTTGGGGGAGGGGGAGGTACATTTATTGTGTGTGCGGAGGGGAGAAGGCTGCACGTGGTTTCAATTTTGAAGCACAAAGAAATAACATGCAATGCAGAAAATAGGTTTATGAATGTAATTGAGAGGAAAGAAAACAATTAACACGGTGCAGGGTTGCACACTTGATTCCCCACCCCTTGCTTTCCCTTCTACCCCAATTTTGAAAAATCCGGATCTTGTGAATAGAGTGGGTCTAGGCAGTTGGATCCCGCTGACAGGGGAACCCCTGATGGGAATCTCAGTGATAGCTAGATAATGGTGTCTATCCATCTCCTGGACTGCTAGGGCCTCCCAGCTGAAAGCGAGGGATCAAACCCCAAAGTCCAGCTTATAAAATACCCTCAATTGTCAGGAAACAAGCAGAAAGGGGAGGAGGGCAAAAGGAGAAAGATAGAGAGAGATAGCGAGGGATTTCTTTAAGAAGCCCAGGCTGGTCCCTGCAAGCTATCCTATTGTGTTGATTTAGGAAGACATTTGCTGTATATAACGTTTAAGGCTGATAATATCATTGCGCAGCCAGATAAATAAAGCGTTGGCCCAACGGTGGGGTCAGCGATCGATCTTGGGCTCAGAGGAAAAAGGAGAGAGACAGGGTCGTGCACGAGGCTGGTCTGTGTGCTTGTCAGGCAGCGAGCAGGAGCGGGAGCCCGGGTGTATGTGCTCGTCAGGGTGTGCGAGAGGGAGAACCAAGTCTTCAGCTGGCCAACAGGCTCATTAGCATTCCTAACCCATGGACCTGCGCTGACAACTAACAGAGATATCCCGCTCACACCAGGCCTCCTCTCCTTTTGTCTCCAGATCTGGAAGAGAGAAAGATTTCTCGGTGGAAACTGGAGACTGAACTTCCATAGGAGTGT